CAAGGAGGGAGGGATGGGAGGAAGGATGGGGGCGACAGACTTGTAAGCTGTAATTAGTTTTACAGAACATGCCTTTACTATTAGACAATCTGGGGATTTGCTGCTGCCTACTGTTATGATGACAGAGCCCCCAAGTGTCTTTGTTTCTGGCACCGAGAACCTGTCAGAAGAGACGGGATAAACATCACTCAGTGAGGAGAGAGGACGCTCTAACGTCATGTAGCAGAACCTAAACTGCAGACATGTTTCCTTATCTGACTAAGGATTTGTGTGTTGCTTTTGGGAAGTCAACTCTTCCATACAGCCCTCTTAAATTACTCTTCCAACCTTTGTCTTCACTGGCAAAACGCTTTAAATATGGAAAATAGAGTGCAGGTTTTTTTCTTGCATCTTTTCACCTTAGTGCCACTGCTGACTTTCCTGAAACTGAAAAAAGACTTGTGATAGTTTGTAATACAGAAACTCTTTATCATGCAGCTCTCAGGTTCATTACATATGCTTGCTATCAGACACATCACTGCACCCTATACAGTATCGTAAACTGGCCATCACTTAGAACGCGCATGATGCTACACTGCTACATTTTCATTTAAAAGGCCATTCTTGGTCTTTTGTCTTCTTCTATCTGTTCTATAAGTTTTCTCCCATGCAAAGAACATATAATTAAAATTCTGTTCCTGGACTGCTTTGCATGGTACCTAATATGAGGACCGAAGCAGGAAAGAGGAGTCTGTCTTACTACAGCCCTAGGTGTAGAAAGACACAGATTCTACCGTTTCTTTTTGAGACTGTTTTCATGTTGGGTTATTGGTCCCTGACTCCATGGTGGAGCCCCGTCTTTAAATGTAAATGCTCCGTATTTGTATAGCGCCTGTCTAGTCTTTTCAACCACTCAAAGCGCTTTTACACTACATCTGCATCAAGTGCTCAAACAATTCGGGGTTCAGTATCTTCCCCAAGGATACTTCGACATGCATCAGTTAATAATATCAGTGCTTTACCAATTTCAGATCACTCACTAATATTATTTGACATTTCTATCCCTAATTCATTTAGTATGGGGAAATTGGGGCATTAGACAAGGTTACCTTGTTATTTTAGCACTAGTGCTTTAAATTACCTTAACTTGAAACTACCAGATGTGATGGATTCAGTTTTTAGCCAAGCCTTTTCGGTGGACTGTCTCACAGACAACTTTAATGGTGTACTCTGGGATTTGTTGGAGTGGGTGGCTAAGCGACGACATGGAAGTGTCCTCCAAAAGAAATCATACACCTTGGCTAAATGAGGAGTTACCGATTCTCAGTAAGAGCTGCAGAAAAGTTGAATGTCAGTGGCGCCATACTAAGCTTGAAGTTTATCATCAGGGATGGCATGACATTCTGACCACCTATCAGTCTAAGATGGCTACTGCAAACGCAGCATTTTATTCTAATGTGATCATGAATAATAAGCATAATCCTAGACTTTTATTTGACACTGTTGATAGACTTGCACAGTCTCAGTAGCCAGTAAGTAGTACGAATTTGTCAGCACATGATTTTATGATGGATTTTTATGAGACAGTTGAGGACATCCGAACTAGGATTGATTGTTGGGGGATTAGACTGCGCTATCAAGGGACCATTTTCTATACGACGGGGCCACTCTGAGTTTGAACCGTATTCTTTGGCTGATTGAACTAAAATTGTTGTGACTGCAAGCGGTACCCATTGCTCTCTGGATCCCTTTCCTGCCTGGGCCAACATTAGGATTGTATGTTTTAGCCATTTTAAACCTTTCGCTCTCCACAGCAGTTTTACGGTTTGCTTCAAATCTGCGGTTGTTAAATCATTATTGAAGAAACCAAATCTGGAAATAAACTTGTTGCCAAATTTTAGACCTGTTTCTAATTTGGCCTTCTTATCGAAAGTCTTTGAGAAAGTGATCTCAAATCAGCTTTTAAAATATCTGTCATCTAATAATCTTTTGGAGCTGCTGCAGTCTGCTTTTCAGGCATTCTACTGAAACTGCACTCACAAAGGTGGTAAATGATCTGTTACTGGCTGCTGACTCAGACTTAACATCTATCCTCTTGTGGTTGGATCTTAGCACAGCTTTTAACACTGTGGAACACCGTATTCTTTTGGACAGACTCTAGAAATACTTCGGGATCTCTGGCCAGATGCTTAAGTGGTTGAGATCTTACCTTTCAGAAAGTTCTCAATGTGTGTTTTACAATAACACATTTTCTGACTCTCAGCGCGGCGTTCCACATGGTTCAGTCCTTGGTCCACTGTTGTTTTTGTTATACTTCGTTCATTCTTTTGGGATGGCTTTTCACTGCTATGCTGTTGATTTACAAATACATATGCCAGTATATATGCCAGTTCTGTTGCGAACATACAAAATAGTGAACGGCCTTGCACCATTATATCTGTCTGATCTTGTGAATTATTTTGTGCCTACACAGTTGCTGCGCTCCAACAGGACAGGACTTCTGACTGTACTAAAGGAAGAAAACAGTTGGTGAGCGAGCCTTTCCGCACTCCAACAGTCTTCCAGCAGATATTAGACTGGCATGTTCAAATGAGATTTTTAAATCAAAGCTTAAGACCTACTTATTCACTTCTGCGTATGAGTCCTAGATGGTTGTTTATCTCTGACGTCTTTGTATAAGTGGTATTTGCTTTTAGTGTTTAAATTAGAAATTTTATTGTACCGTATTTTAAACGTTTTCTTTTTGTAAAGCACTTTGAGTGAAAGTGCTCTATAAATAAATTTATTATATTGTTATTATAGTATATTATTATTATTATTGGCAATATTAATAACTTTTCATATTTCTAAATATCTTTGCTACTTGCTAATAATCAAACCTGCCCTACCAGATCCCAACACCAAACTGTGTTTCTTAAATTGAATCAGTGAGTGTTTCCAACAACTACCCTCTATACAAATATATTCAAGAGGAAGTGAGAAGATTATATATCCTCCAGTGAAAAACTTTGACTTCATTACTCTCCAACACTTTCATATCTGTGTACAATTCCATCATACATTCAAAGCACACACAGAAATCTCTCAGGTCTATAGCCAAAACCACAATGGTGGGCATTATGTAATTGAGCGTTTCACACATGATGTCAACAACAATTTATGTCCTTGACCACCATACCATTAGTTAAGCCCTGCCGATAGCCTGGGGGAAGCAAACAAACACAGTGCTGAGGAGACATTAATTGTCTGTGACATTCTGCCGCCATTGGTTGTACTTCTCTGTTACACACTATTACATTCATCATTAGCTTTTATGGATTCTCCTGCTCTGCTTAGCTTTGCTCCTCTGTGTCGCCGGCTCTTATAGACGCTGCTGTTTATGCCTCCGATATATGAGACTGTTGACCCAGTGAAGTCCCTTTGGCTTTGGAGCACATACAGACATCTGCATCCTCTCCAAGAGCATCAACAAACAACTCCTCTCATCCACAGTGTCACATGAAAATGTAACACTGCTAATCTGTGTAAACCTGTGCTGCAGAACTGCACTGAGCAATGACTTCACACAACATTTAGCATCTAAATTGACCAATACTGACATTTTAAAGCTGTTTATTGTGTGACAGAAAGTAATTTTCTTTACTGATGCTGTACTGTAGAACAGCCTTAAAGTAAATATCAAGTTGGCAAAAACAAGATGACTTGTTACTTGAGCCATTTTGTTGGATATAAAACACTGCCAACATAAGTCAATTGATATTTAAGCCAAAAGTGCTCCGGCATCAGATATATGCCTGTCAGGATTTGATGTATTTTAGAAAAGCTCAATACAAACAGTTACACTGTATTAATATATTTCAATGTATAGCTACATAATGTATATTTTATGAAAACAGAAAGCTGTGTATACCTTATCCAAACACCAGGAAAGACTAGCTTTTTCATTCATCTGTGGCAGTGCTCACAGCTCATTACCATCACTGCACTTTCCAGCTCTGTTTAATAATCCTTTAAACAATCAGAAAACCAAACACTGGCAATGGACTGGAATGGCTGGGAGCCAGAGGTCAATGCTGTGTGTGTGCTACTTGCCTTGTGAGCAAGACTGCTTTTTGTAAAACATTTGAGAGTTCTGCATTATTAAGCAAGCGCAAGTCAAAGATTGACGAGGAACACACCCTTTTTCCTCCTGTCAGGAGGGCAGTCACCGCCGAGCCCTGGCACATCCAGCCCTAGAGTGGGCCGATGAAATATTAAGAGGCCCCGGGGGAGCAAGGCTGACTTGTCGCTGACTGCTGTACAAACAACACAGCAGTGTTTGTAGACTAAGGCAAGGCGGTATATCCACAGCTGGATATACGCCTCAGCGGGTAAAGGAGAACTGTGAGGAAGATCTCTGCCTCCAGGGGGATGACCAGAGACATCATGACACTTTCATTTTAAAGCTTTGCAAAGTGTTTAATGGTACAGGGAATCTGAGGAGGGAGGCTTGTTTCATGCTGAGGCTGAAGGAACATATTGTCAGTGGTATTCATGCATCTCAGCATGTGAGGGCATGCAATGAAGAGTGGAGTAAAATGTTATGAGGGAATCTCTGAGCACTGTTGATGATGCATTATCCCCAAGCCTTCACACATCAAAGTAAAATCCCCTCTTGGATTTTCTATGTCTCTGCCTCTTCCAGGAGGCATTACTTCCAGTTTGAATTGTTGAACATGTGTGGATCACGAACTGAGCCACCGCTCTTTGATTTTGAGGTTCTGACACCTATAGCTGATGTCTTAAAATGGAAATTATCACAGGAATCAGAGAAATCACCAAACATTCCATCTATCTTTTCTATTTTTCCTGGCAGGGGGGATTTTTCCTTTAAAGTTCAGCTCTTTTCTATAGCCAGAAGTGATGGACTAACTCTCCACTATCAACTTCTGACCTAAATGTTCAAAGACTGTAGAATGTTGCATCATTTCCAGTGTTGCAAAACAAAAGACACACACACCCACAAAAAACAAGTTCCTCACGTTTTGTTCTGTCTTTTCTGATACTTTGTCACCATGTCTTGTAAACTGGTCGTGATGATGATGGATGGAGGGACAGACACAAAAGAAAAGAACAAAAGACAATAACACATGAAAACAAGAATCAAGTCAAAAATACAAATAAAAATACATTAAATGTGAATTCTGTTATGGCAGATGCTGTGATAACCCAGTTTTGGTTTTCTTTTTGGCAAACTAACTGTATTGTACACATCATGTTTTTAGGGGCATTGACTCAGCACGCCACCTCATCCTGGTCTTGTGTCTTGCATACAGAGTGGAGAAGAAGGCATCCCAGAGCTTTGTTTAATAACTCACAGAGCTGCTTACTGCTGCTGTAGGGAAAAGAACTTTCACCTTGTCGTTGGCAGGACCGTACAGAAAAATCTGTAAGGCTCAGCAGGCATCTCAGAAAGTATATACATTTTCTTACAAGGAGCCCCAACAAGAGTACAGGACATTTTACTGGGTGTGAACTGAGTCAAAAAGAACTACCATCTCTGTGGAGACTTCTACATGTTAGAATTATATATAGATATAGATAGATGTAACTGCTGTCTGTAGAAGTTGAGTCTTGATCCTGACGAGGAAAGGCATTATAGATGTAATAAATGACCAGAAGATTCTATATCAGGAGGGCTTTGATTGGCTTGGTGACATTATCATAGGTCACATGAGGAAGCCTTGAGAGGCAATTGAGAAAAATACAATTCTGGTGACCCATCCTATGTCTGATCTAAATTGAGTGAAATGAGTGAAAAGAACAGATTTGGCAGGTGAAGCACATTTTTTTTGTCACGATCACTGTTCTAGGTGTTTATTGTTAATTCTGTGAAGTGCTGTATAAATATAATTTAATTGAAAATTAATTGATTTGTTGTAATACTCATTCCTGCGACAAGATGCTGACGTGCACCACTACCCCGTGTTCTAATTAGGACTAAAAGCATCCATGTTTTCTGCCAAGTGAGTGTGAGTGAATGAATCAGAGTTGTGATTTTTCCCGAATTCCAGATTTTCGACCAGAACATGTGACACACGAATCCAGCAGATCCATCAAAAAAATAAAAATTAAATTCTGGTTCCTATCTCGTTTTTTGGGGGGTGGGGTGCATTTTCTTCTTCTTTTTCTTATTATCATCATCATCATTATTATCCATCTTAGGTTAATTAAAGTAGTCTAACTTGCAGGCATGATAACTCAATCATGACTGGACTAAATAGTCACGTGACACACGCAGTTGGAAGACAATAAAATAGGTTTATGATATAATATTTATAAAATATCTGCCTACAGCTTACACTAAATTTAAATAAGTGCTTTCGACATATACTTTACTTGGGCGTTTCCCAGGTATATTAGCACCTGCCAAAGTATATTTGATAACCTATTTTAGCATTTTTCAGAGAAACAGAGAGAGAGATGTAATCTGGTATTACGTGACAAGATGCGGACATGGTGGACGTCACATTACAGAGTCACAGTCAACGCACCAGCGCAAATGTCACTCAGTAACACGTTGGTTTAGATCATGCGGCGCAACTGCTGAGACTTTTTTAAACGCAACAAAAGGAATTTGATGATATAGAAATTGAGGTTGGTGAAGTAGAGGTTAGAAAGGCATTGTTTGGTGGCCACATCAGAGGCGTCACAAACTAAATTTAATGCAGCGAATGGCAAGTTGCTACTGTGGTTAATGCAGTGAGTTCATCAGTGGTCAGATCTAAAGGTAGAGGCAAAAAAATTTAATTGCATCCCACCTTCAGCAAGGCCACACCGAGCTGTCACTGCTGGAAACCCGAATGGCCTCTGTACTCGGGGAAACAAGTTGTTTTTGGGTACCTGTTGATAAGGTCTTCGTTGTCATCACTCTCCATCTCGTCCTCTATGGCTGCCTGGAGGTCACCGATCCTTTTGAAGGCTAGCTTGAGGTCTGCCTGCAGGCTCTGATTAGCAGCCTCTAAGCTCTCAATGTCCATTTCCTGGTCAATGGGACAAGAGACAGCAGAACAAAGGTCAACCAGTTCAATGTTGCTGATTTATTGTTGATGGATGGTAAGTTGGCTCTACTAAAATGTCACGAGTGTCTGACTGTACCGTTTGCTCATTGATAATTGTTAGCAAGTTGTCTTACTTCCGTCTGTCACATTCTTACCAGCTCGTGTTTTTTGCGGCTGGCCTCGGCTTCCTTTTTGGCCAGCTCACCCATCTCCTCTTTGATGTCGCGGATCTGTCTCTGTAGACGTTTGTTCTGCTCCTTCTCTCGATTCTCGCTGCTGCTGCGCTGGTCTCGTTCCTCCGTCAGCTTCTCCACATTCTCCTTTATACGAGCTACAAGGGTCTGCGCAGAAATAAAGACAGAAGGGTCAACTATACGGTCACAGTGACACTATACACAGAACACAACCTGAATAAAACAGTGGAGGAACATTCAAATGTAGATGCTTCGTGCACCAGTTGTCCCTGAATGGTTTGGTGAGTTTGAAAATGATTTGAATAAAATGCTACGGCCTATTAAAGATTTTGGACCATCGTGTAAGACTCTCCACCATCACCAAACACATAATATAAACTTTTATCTTCAGATCTATTTATTGTTGTTTTTTTCCTTTAATTTGGCAACCATCTGGATATATCAACCATCTGTTTTATACAACTACTGTATGAGCGATCATGTAGAGCAGGCTAGACACATAAATATTACTGCGTGAAAAACACAGCACCCTCTTTCATTTGACCGAGGCCAGTCAGTCAACGCTGCGGGGGCGCCAACACAGCTCTGGCAAAAAGAAGTGGAACCTGGCCCTTTATCGGTCTGCAACTACACATCTTCCGGCAAGATGCTGAGATGGCCAATCAAATACGTGCTAGCACACAGTTGTGGTAGAGAACTGCTGTCTCCAACAAAGTCTGCTAGATGACTAGACATTTTGCTAAATTTCTATTTCTAATAGCTTATTTAGCTATTTTAATTCTACTTCATTATCCACCTTGCTTTAGTGTTTACTCACTAGTTGAATCTGCCCACCTTGCTTTTCCTGTCAGTTCTCTTGTCCTCAAACACACACACCTCGGATCTTGTACCGCAAACACAACTGCTCACCCCCCCTTCCTGTCTCTCTCTCTCTGTCTGCTCTGCTGACTTTCTCCATCAGCAGTACATTTTATTAAGTCACCAAAAAGACACAGAACTCATCTTCTGGATTTTTCCCTCCGCGATTTTGTTCTGTACAGCAGCAGGTGAACCGCATGTGGAGGAGGCTTGTTAAGAACATAGCCTACGTGAACCAACGTGATAGCAAGTAGGGTACTGTGATACAATACCTTGAAAAATATCAATGTTTGATACCATTTTCAATACAACGGGGAAAAATTGACACATCCTTGATTAAATTACTGAATTTAATTACTAAATTATCTAATCAACTTTTTTGTTGATTTGCTGAAATTAGGTGAAGTTAATGGTACTGGTTTGTTAAGCAGAACAACATCAGTTAATGTACTTCTGTTGGGCCGACAACAGGACAACTAGCATGTCAGTCCTGCAGGTACTTTGCTCAGTTGGTTTTGTTGGCACCTTTAGTTAGCACTACTTTGTAGCATCTGTTGCATATGGGCTTGCTTGTATCCTTTGCCAGCATCCAATCACAAGTGATGAGTACTAGGGTTAGGGCACAGCACAGCACAGTAGGGCGTGACTTGTTGAAACTATAACAGGAAAAGCAATTACGCGAATCAACTGGAGCAATTGAGAGGAGAAGATGGCACTGTGAGTGAGAGGAGGCGGGGCTAGGTGGGCACTGCAGCGGTATGTGTCAACTCGCTGTCGGGGAGAAGAGATTGTGAAAAAGCGCATTTTCACTATCAAAACTGCAGAAAATGTGTATTAAAACCGATCAAAACATTCAGAAATCTCAAAAAAATGTTATTTTTGACAACACTAGTAACGAGTGAAATCTGCAGTGTTCAATACTGCTTTACCTGGTCCGTGCTTGTAATATATACCCTGTGTGGCTGTTAATATTAATATACCTGGGCAATCGTTAATGTACCTGGGCGGCCGTTAATTCAATTAAATTCAAATGTATTTAAACAGCGCTAGTTCACAACAAAAGTTTTCTCATTGCTCTTTTCATATAGAGCAGGACCGTACTCTTTGTGATATTATTTGAAGATCAAACAATTAATATTAATTAATGGACCCGGGCGGTTGTTAAAATACCTGAGCGAAAGAGTGAATTGAGCTATTTTACTGGATATGGACATGCTGCTGTGAAGTTTGCAGATGACACAACCATCATCAGCTGGATTCTCTCTCTGCCCCACCACCTCCCCATCACCGCCCAGTCTACACAGTCATCAGCTTCATCATTTCATCAGCGTCATTAGCTATCACCACTACCAGTGTCTGGACTCCATGGGGGGATTAAACATGCTGCTGCTCATGGCTGATGCCTCATGATTACAAGTGCGAAAGATTTTCTGTCAAGACTTAATTATCACATATCATCTGTTGTAATAAACAATTATCTATACTTTGTTCAATTGTCTCTTCTGATTGAAAGCCCTGTTGGTCCAGTAATATGGACAGTAACAGTAACAGGAGTGTTACACAGAACCCAGTCAGAAACCAATGTGAACTGCTACTGTAGCTAAGTAGCTTATTGTATCAATAATGCTTTGGAATAGCGCAGTGGACTTTAATGGCATCTATATCAGTCTTCAGCAGTGTTTTAACAGGTGACTCCTATATAGGTCTTCTAACTCTGCAGTAAGTCTGTATTCAGTCTATGCATCAATGCCAGCACACTTTATCAAGTGAGTGAGCTCCTGCATTAGCCACCGGCGCTGTCCATATCTCACATACTGAGTGGGTGTTGACTGTGCCTCCTCACATCTGTATTGATTGAGTTCTTCTACCTCCAGCTTTGATGAGCTTTACTACTCCTGCAACCTGAAATATTTACACACTGCAGATTTTAATGCTGGCGAGAAGCCATAAAAAGCCAACCAAAAGGCAGGAGGAGTCTAATCCTTGGGTATATTTTCTAAATTCTGCACAATCCACCACAGGCAAGAAATCTGTTTTTTAAAATCACATTTAATAAATAAATATATATTTTTTTGACTTTGGAGGGCAAGGAGCAGAGGGAATGTGCCTTGCGGTGGGCACACTGTACAGCAAGTAATTATTAAACTGAACCTGTAAAAATGAGCGGCCATTTTATCAGTAGGAGAGAGAGGATTTCAGTTTCTCCCTGGGAGCATGCAGATGGTAATTTTTATTCTTCCCCCACCAGCACTCCTCCACTCGTAGCTCTCACCTCTAGACGTTTGACCTGGGTCTTCTCAAACTCTAACTTGGTCTCCAGCTCACGGATCTTGGCCTCCTGCCGGCTGACGAAGGACTTCTCCACCATGGACTGCTCCTGGAACTCTAGCTGGCTCTGGAGGGCTTGCATCTAAGAAACAAAGATACACACATTTATGTCACTATACTAGCTGTAGTAAAATCAAATCTTTTTTGTCTCAATTCAAAGCTTCTCTTTTCACACACACACTCCATGTGAAGTGCTGCAAGGTTCTGTCCTGTGTACATTACTCTTCAGTTTTTATATTTTATGACGGTTATCATTTGTAAACACTGTAGATGATCACTATGCAGACGACACCCAGCTCTACATAACAGTTGATCCTTATGACGTGAGAACCCTTTATTCCCTTAAAATAATTTTTTTCATGACCAAAAGTTCCTAAATTAAATTAAATGTAATCTAATCAGGACTCAACAGATATCATAGCTTTTGGTCCAAAAGACAAAAATATCCATACAATTTACAACACTCTCTTAGTCTATTACAGTACAATAGTCTTTAGAATTTCATTCCTGTCAATTCGGTTGTTGATGTTTTCAGTTGTAAAGGATCCTTCTCTGTCTGAACCAAGTTGAGTTTGGTTGCATTAAAAACCTTAGCCTCTTAGGTCACAATGGTACAAGGTAGAGAATTAGAAGTATTTAGAATGCATATTTGAAGCTTTCTCTAGATCTAGCATGTCAGGTTATGAACATGTAAACGCCAAATAACCTGCCTATGCAAAACCACCACAAGACAGTACAGCAATCTGGGACATGGTGAAATGTCCATGTTTATCACTACTAACTATTTGTTGCTGATTAACACTGTATCAACCTGCTAACACCTATAGAATTTTTGTAACCAAATATCTGCCTTGCTTTTCGGTTTCCTGCATGTTCGTTTATGTTTTGTCTTTCTTTTTGCTTCTGTTTGATGTTGGTCTTCTTGTTATAAAACTTCAAATTATATACAGTATATAAATAAAACAGTCCCTATCCACCACATAATTCTGTGTAGCACCTCCTGTTACAGGGTGGGTTGCCAGATACGGTTGATGAGCACCAGTGGTGAAAAGAAACCAAGAACAAATACTCCATAATTGTACTTTACTAGAGTATTTTTAGTTGTTGCAACATTTTACTTTCACCTTGCTACATTTCTAAGCCAAATAACAACTTTTTACTCCGTTACATTCTGCATGAGACATTCATACATCGTTATGCAGTGGACCTGCTTGGAGCAGCAATGAAAAACAAATGTGAAACTGATAAAGCCGATTCTGTGCTAATCAGCTTATGGTATACTGGTATACACAGTGATAGTAATCGAGTCAATCTCACGCAGTGCTGAAGAACCTGCCTCACTCATGTCAAAGGTGAAAGTGAGTGTTAATGTTTACTTTTTAACTTTGATCAGAGGATGAAGAGGGACTATCCTTCTGGGCAGAGGAGACAAAAAACTCAATGGAACCGCAGTCAGGTAAACATGTGTTCTCTGCTCTTAAAGTCTGATGTCAGCAAATAAAAGTAATGGACCGTGACTACACAATGTTAAAGTGAAATACAAGTATAACAATTTATTACATTGGACAAAGCCAGACGGCCACGGCGTTAAAAAACTGTAGCTCAGAAAAGATGACCACGTTGCGTGTGGAAATGCATTCATATGCGTGTGCACAAAATGACACAGCATTCCAGCAAGACACATCTGTCCAGACAGGATGGGATGGCACTCCTCATACATCATTTAAAAACAAGATAGTGATTATCCATCTCTCAGTCAAGGTTTAGTTACAACTTTAGGCTAACGCAAGATGGGAAGCAGTGGATTCACATTGACTATTGAAAATTAAAATGCTGACTAGCGGGATAGACTGGGCTATACGGATGCACATTTCAAATGGTGTTTTTATTTGAAAATGTATTGAAGGAAACCTGGAAGAGCCTGTTTGAATGGGCCTGATGCAGCTGATAACATTAATATATAGAAAATGCTGGATAATCAGCCAGTACAAGAACAGACTTCAGCCAGTCAGCCAGTACAAGCACAGCCGATCCACATCCAGCCTCAGCCTGTACGAGCACAGACCCAGTCCAGACGGCTTTAGCAGGTCACACAGACCCAAGTGAAACACAGGCAGCCTCAGCCAGTGCTGAAGTTAACATCTTTGTGGATTTGTGGTGAGACTTCTGTATGTGTTTTTGTGTTCAGTCACTTAGTTTTGGTTTCCACCTCCTTGTCTCATTCTAACATACACAAAGAACCCACAACCGGGTTCTGCGTCTGAACGAGATACTACCACACCAGCAGAGCAATAACTCAGGCTAATCCTCTCCACAGTATAGAAAGTATCCACTTGTCCTCTACCAACTCAGTTTTCCTTACTGTGATTGACAGTAACTTATAATGCTGTATTTAAACCTGTCTTGAGTGAATTTTTAGCAACAGTAAATTTAACAGTAAATTTTTTACTTTTACTTGAGTACGTTTATACTGGATGACTTTTACTTTTACTTGAGTAACATTTTTCATGTGGTATCTGTACTTTTACGCAAGTATGAGAATTGAGTACTTCCACCACTGATGAGCACACGTTGTGGTTTAGGTCTCTGTACAACCACGATGGTACCAAACCTGGGAAGCTGAGTTTTGTAGAGAATAGCTTGAGGTTTAATAAACTAAGATATACTAAGGTATAATAAAAAGTTGGTTTGAGGGTGTTCATGTTTCTTTAGCTTTAAAGACGTTGCAGGAGTGTCTCTTGCTCCCAGTGGAAATAACTGCCCTGAAACTGAGATCTTGGATGGTATCATTGTAAGGAAGACTGCAGGGCTTGGGACAGATAGACAACATATCCCTTGTGTCGGTTGAGGATGGGACACTACTCCCCCCCCCCCCCCCCCCCCCTCCCTCTCCGGGTGGGTTTGATTTGTCAGGTACAGCTGTGTCTGATGGAGAAAAAGATTCATGCAGCAGCAGTCCTTATGGGGATGACAGCCCTAGCATGTTCAGCATTATTGCTTGTCTGAGTTGGGAAACCAAGCTGGCAATCTGTGTCACATACTGCCAGCGCCAATCCTGCTTGAATGACACATCAATTACATCAAGGGTTGTATTTGTCAAGAGACCAAAGGCAAAGGAAATGGGCTGGGGCAGTACTGCACATTCATGCAAGTTTGTAAATGGGACTCTTTACTAGCCACTGCGGCATAGGAAACTCTACGTATCTGTGTCAGGGGAGGGGGATGGCCTGCATTATGAGACTGAAACTGTCATACTGTTGTCATACGTTTACATTTCTACTCTAATCGATCAATTTGCCCATCTCAATTTCCAAACCAACATATTCAGATTGTTTCGTCCAGTCCAAGACGCTAAAATATTTTGTTTCTGTCATAAAAACAAAGAAAAGTGGCAAATCCTCACACTTAAGAAGCTGGAACCAGCAAATTATCAAAATACACAAGTACACAATAACACACGTACATAAATTGCATACCATAAATAAAGTGGTTACTGTTCTTCAACATTTTTAAATTACTGTCATGATCCTGGTTTGGAAAGATAACTCTTTGGAGTTACAGTAAGTATCAAAAAAAGCCAGAACTAGTCTCAGTGATCCTGAACCAGACTGACACAAACGTGGTACAATGAAAGATAATTTCTCTTTAAATGTTCAGTCATTTATGCACAAAATGAGCCACTGTATTTTTATAAATATCTTTAAATAGTTTATAGGTTTTTAGTTCAACAGGTTTGATATCCTATTTCTACTTTTTTGGCTTAAAACTGAACTAAGTGTTCTCAAAACCTCTCAGCCTTCATTTTATTCCACATCACTTACAGTGGAAGAGCATTAGATATCTTAATTATGGCATCCAATAACTCGTCATTGTACATATTGGCATATTTAAGAAGGACTGAAAAAATTGTGACCCTTGAAATGTGTCCTCATCATCTCCTCTTGATTCTCTCTCTGCAGACTAAGAGCACAGGCATTCCCTCTTAAAACAGAACTATGTGGCTGTCCCTGTCACATTAGTGATATGATAAGAGAAGAAAGCCAGCATCTACCTTCTCCTGAACCTCCTGCTTCTCTTTGAGGGCCTCCTCCAGCTGGGCTTGGAGGTCACTGATCTGAGCCAGGTTCTGGGCCGACTGAAAAACACAGGAAAGAAGCAAAGTCAATGAGCAATATGATACTGTAGGTGGATAACCTTCTTTTATTCTGTCGGATAGAAGAATGAATAAGGATTTCATATCAACAAGTACATCCTCATTATATAGAGTGCAGAGTATACAAAAACCTAGAAACCAAAATCTATATCCAAATCTAATGCCAAACAATGAAAATATACCAGGCAGATCCAGTGAAACATGATGACATTACAGTGACATTGCTGAGACAAATAAATCAGCTGGAAACATTTTTTGTCTGGTGAAAGCATATCAATAAATCTCAATTCAATGTAACCTGTGTGAAATATTTGAGACGAGTGCTTTTTTTTCTCCACAGTAGATGAAGCACTCTGCTACAGCAAGTCCCATCGGGAATTCAGCTGCTTCAATTTAGACAAGAAGGATGGATTCATTTGGAGCCAGTGGAGGCAGATCACTCATCATTCCATCAGCGCGGGAAAGGAAGAGCTTTTACTCCACTTTCATTTCCACTTGCTGCTCATCTGCATATACATCTACTAATGGGAGTTGTGTGCTTGCCAAATACCTCCGCTTTTCAAAAATGACCCAATTGGCAGGGAGGGATGGTGTTAAAACGATGTAATGTAAAGCTTGATCCAGAGATTTTATCTTTTGCAAATGAACTTGGGATTGCTTTTTGACATAATATGATCGTACACATGACATGATACGTGGAACATGTAGGCTAGACTGTGTGTGTGTGTGTAGTGGCAATGCTGACATATCAGCTTGCTGATATATTAGGCACATTTTGCTTTTTTTATTAAAAGGCATACACCAGGCAGTCAATGTCATCCATCAGTTTTATGATGGATGATTCAGTTTTATTGTTGACATACAATATTAGCTGCAGAATTAATCAGTACTGCACTGGTTCTGCAGTGTTTCCCATACATAGGCTTTCCTTGGGTGGGCCGCCCAGGTAGATTAACAGCCGCTCAAGTAAATTTGGCGACCCATTTTAAATCTTTCTTGATTGCAGCGCTGCGCAGCGCATATTCGCTCCACACATCCTCTCACTGGTCGCTGTCTCTCTCGCAAACACGGACAACAGACCCATCTGTGAATTTAACTGGTTAGTATCATAAACACCTCTGCACAAATCTGTCCGACACAACACGTCGGTCACCCATCTTCAAAACAGTTATTAGCAAGCATGTAAGGAGCCTAGCTAATAAGGAGAGCTATGTTAACTTTGGAAAACAGCTGTCGAATAAATCGTATAATTGGTAGTCTACAGGTGCGTTTGAGATAACTGGCTGACTTTTGCCGACTTGAATAAAAACAGCACTATCAAGTCACCTGCGGTAGACTGCGTGAGCTTACTGTGAGTTTACAACAATGATCAGGCCTTGCTCCCACGAGGTGTAGTGACGTGACACCTCACAGGAGGTAACGCTCTGCTATACTGAGAAAATAGGTGGATGCAAATTTCGGTAGGTAGACTACAATCTCTGTTTTGCCGAATTATACAATTAATTTAAAGTCCTTTTAGGACACTTTGCTGTTTGAACGAGGTTAACGCCACATGTTTTTGCTGAATCTCAAGAAATGGTACTTCTACTAAAAGTAATAATATATTAACGATTCTTAACGTTCATAAAATATATACTGATCATTTATCACTATTGATGAACCCCACAAAGAATAGTATAGTGTTTAAAAGCAGAACATAACACCTGTGACAGTCGACTGCCCCCGCCGCCAATCTGTGGGAAACACTGGGTTGTGTATGGGAATCCCTTAAAGGTTTTTGACCTCTAGTGGCACTATGGATGCGTTTATCTATGAGTGTGTCCCCATTTAGTTTATCTCGTTGCATGTGCACGAGGACATGCAGGCACGCATGGGTGATGCGACATACAGTCCCATTGATTTCATACATCTACAGGCGGCGGTAACATACCATGATATGCTTCAATGTGATTCAGAGTTTCGATGTTCTATAGTGTGCTTTTCCATCTCAACAAAATAATATTATGTAATAACATATACAGTGCTTCAATACATTTTTACATGATCATTTATAACAGAGTGGCTGTAATGTCACCATTTCCCATATCAAAATATTCAGCTCAGTAAGGACATTCTGGCTTCTCAGATGTTTGATAACTTTCATACTTTCCAAAATATTCAAGGTTTTCCAGGAAATTTTAGACTTCCATATTACCCGAGACCAGAACTTACAGCAGGGATGCAGAAAGGTGGACATCTCAAATTGCTCTCATGGACACATTTTGACATTAGACACTTAACTGCACGTTGTGCAAATCAACGTATTTGGATGGCTCGCCCCTGCCCTACACACAGCTGATTGAGATGAGCTAATTAGTGCAGTTTGACACACAGTTCATTCTAAGTCCCAGCAGGCATAACACACACACACACACACACACAAAAGATACATATTTTAAGCTAAAAAAAACATTAAAATGTTAAAACATGCTCTTTAATGCCATTTATGGTTGTATACCATTGTGCACCATCAAATATTGTGCTTTTTTCAACAGTTTATTGCAATCGAAGTGAAAATGCCTTTCGCCTGATGTCAGCTGGGATTGGCTCAATCCCTCCTGTACACAGAATAAGTAGTTGACGATGAGTGAGTGAGAAGTGAAAACCATTGCCAATATAACAATTTAGCTTCCAGCTTTTCTAGAAATGTATTTTAGCTCTTGTTTCTTTAGGTAATTAGCTATTAGTTAGCTATTTATTTAACCTTCCTGCTTTTCAGAAGTGATTTCTTAACAGACTCCATATTTGTGTGTGAAACAGCCAGAGAGGAGAAAAGTAGACCTGGGCGACAGCAGCCTTGTGTTTCTTCATCAGCTCGTTCAGGTCCTCCTGGTCCTCCTCCATCCTCGACTGCAGGTCATTCTTCTCTCTCTGCAGACGACTCAGCTGCTCCTCGAGCTGATGGACAGAAAGCAAATCAAAGAGATTTGTAAATAGAACAACCCAGCTGTGTTTTCAATGGCAGACAAAATTAGACACAAGATGGCAGCTGGTTCTTGCATCTTAACCAAAATATCTATATTTACAGACAGGAAAAAAAACTGAAATTCATCAAACAGGATCTGTGCTTCACACAGGGTCAAGCTCTCTAAACATTTTGCTCAGTGAGTCAAATGTTCTTGTACTGTTGCACAATTACGATTTCTGAAGCAGGCAGTTACTCATAGGTTGCTTTTTCTTAATAAAATTTATATTTTAAATTTAAGAGGTGAGACACCAATCTTGGTCATATGTCTATGGTGAAGTAACATCCATCTATTATGGATAACTGTTAAAGAAGCATGAGACACACATTAATAATAATGCACATTTTAGGAAAATTAACTGGGTAACTTTGAAAATAGGATCCCTAATATAAAACATAAAACAACATAAAAATCCAAAAGATATGTTGATTTTGTGTAATAATGGGAACGTTTTGTGATCTAACAAGATCAAAAGATACATTGTTTCAAAATTTTAAAATATAATGGTATGTAATTACTGACAATTAAAATGTTATAAGATAAATCTTGGCATAACATTAAATAATCTCAATAAATAAAATAAAAATTCTCATTTTAAGTAGAATCTTTATAGATTTTATTTATTTTTTTTATTTTTTTTAAAGGGATTCCACCAAAATATCCTCTTGAATTGCTAAATTAAGCTCTGGAATTATTTAATTCATTCTTTCAAATTAATAATTGTATGCATGAATTCAATAGCACAATTTAAATATTTTGGTACGCACATTATGTTTTGGGCACTGTAATACAATAATATATGATTGAGAATTAGAAGTGATATATAAAGATGGACTACACAGCCCCCCTCTGATCACAGGGCCCAGCAGCTAGCAGAGACTTCCTTGTACCTGTGGCTGAGGGGATGGTCTGTGCTGAAGTAACCCTACTTCTGTAATGACTGGGATAATATACACAAGAGGGAGAGGCGTTGGTGGTGCAAGGCTATGGATTAATAAATGATGACTAATGTGACTATGTGAAAAGGCTAATGAATACATTTGCACAAAGTGAGTGGATGAGGAGTCAGGGACAGGCAGAGCTGACAGGCAGTGTCACATCCATCTTATTGAGAAACCGTCCAAACAGGATGTAGAATTAACCTGAATCACTGAATCAAAAGACAGCTTCAAAGTATGAATTTGGATTATGAGGGTAAGATTTATTTATTCCTTATCTATTTATATGAATACCACCCACTGCTGAGATGTACCAAGGTGTAGTTCAGTAACTAAAAATATCCAAATGGAATCTGGGGCAAATTCATTTACATATCACACTTTCCTTTTTTAGATTCACCAGCTTTGAAAGCAGCTCCAGCTCTGCAGCTTGGGGAAAATATTTTGATGGACATTAGAAAAAACGTGACAGTCGGTAGCATCAAACTTTCATTTAGCACATTTAACAGTAGACCGTCAGTGCAATCTGAAGCCAATTATGTGGCTTTTTCTCTCAGATTGCTGTGGCTCTCTGTGGAAAAATAAAGCTGTTGAAAAAATGCAAGACATATTCCTCCAAACACTGCAATTACTGCGACAGAACGACAGGAGAATGGCAAAAACTGTGGACCATCAGAGGGGAATGTATTTAAATGATTTTATCTTTGATGGATTGCAATGTATGATGTGGCTGAAGGCTGCATAAAAAAACAAAAACATTTATGCACCATTTCTGTCATCAGTTCTCACAGCCTTTTACTTTCCCAGCAGGCTGGATGTATGCTACAGAGGTCGTCCTCAAAGACATGATTTCAAAACAAACAGCTGGTGATACATCTCTGCAATATTCCTTTTCCACCTTCTACTAGGTTTGGGTATTGTTTAAATTTTATCAATTCCAACTCTTCTTATCGAATCCGCTTCTTATTGAATCTCGGTTCTGAACCCCTTCACCACAGATCTCATCAGCGCTTGGTGACCTTCATCCTCTTCCTCCTAGCCCATCTTCCTCTTCATGGCTAAAGTGAAGGAAGTCTCTGCACTAGAGTGGCGTCTGTGAGGACTCGTCTCTAAGATAAATAGATATTTAATCATTTGTAGACATCATTCGTTTCCCTTCAGTAAAAAGGTGAACGTCAGCTCACATGTTTTGTACCTGACTGTTACTGTTAGCTGTATCTGAGAGCGCGACACATTGAACATGGCGCGTTCCTTCAGATTCACGCCGTGTTGAAGTAAATGCTTTGTCATGATGGAGCTGCTTCCTCCCTCGCACTAAACCTCCTTACTGCAGGTGTTGCATTTCGCTGTGTCGTTCTCTTTTTCAGTGAAGCTAAGCCAAACTTTGGAGCGTTTGCTGCAGTCTGCCATGGTCCAGGAATGGAAACAGAAGGACTCTCTTCTTCATGTTTTGTTGACGTACTGCCTAACAATTGATGTTAGTGATGTTTTTCATAGCAGGTCCTGGCAGATAAGGGACAATTTTATGGACTGTAAAAACTGTTGAAAAAGACTTAAAACTAGCCGCAAGAGCTGCAAAACAACTGCAGGATGTTGAGTACCTAATGCAATTTATTTGTTTTAATTTTTTAAATAGCCTACTAATGTTTTTGCACTCACTGTTATTGTCGGACCCTGCATCTGCTTTCCAAGGTCTTCTGAATTGAAATACTGGAATACTTCTCTAAACGTCTCCAAACAACCATGATATACAACCAAAATGATAGTTGAGATGAATCGTCCATTGCTCGTGAAATGTGGGCCCAAACAAATGTTAACAAATAGAGGACCAAAAGCTGCTTGGCTTTATTGGACAGTGGGTGGACAACTAGTTTCTAATCCTCACTTAAAGGTTCCCTGTGGTGGTTTTGACCTCTAGTAGCCCTATAGAGCTGTTGTTTTGATGAGTGGGTCCTCGATTTTAACATTTCTTTGTTTATAAGGAATATCCACAGGGCCCCCTTAGTGAATTATTGCAGCGCAACTGATGCTACTTGTGCTGATAAACAGAGAGGCCTCTATTTGGTGCCATACAGCGTTTTGGGCTGCTAGAATAAGCAGCAGCGGTTTGTGCAAAGCCAGCCACTGAAAAGGCGGAGCTAATTAAAAATCATGAGCTGCGTTGTCCCTCTGCGAACCATCTCAGCTACTGATATCATAAACCTCATTAGAGTATAACATACATTTACTAAGATCCCTGATCCTTTCAAACAAACTATTATTTACCTCCAACACGCACTCATTCTGCTTTAATTTTTTTGTTGCATTTAAGAGGCTTATGCAGGTTTCGTTCAATCAGTGGAAAATATTAAAAAGTCAGGTAGACGCAAAGCTTTCAACCAACCAATGAAGCTAACGTTAATTTGCCAGCTAGTTAGATCTGATCAAATCTGCCAAACAGAATAAATATACAAGCTGCTTTGTTCTACCACTGTATGAAATCAAGGATGTGTGCAGTGCCAGACTGAAAAGTGTAGCAGATGAGAAAAGGAATATGATAGGAAGACACAAAAGTCAAGGGGATGTTGATAGAAAAATTTGGATTTGCCAACTAGATATCAATTGTTTATTGTTTTCCCTTACCTTATTATGTAAATGTAATAAATACATTTAAAATAGCATTTGAAATTAATTGATTATAACTGTAGTTGCGGTCTTGAAGTCTATAATGATTATGGTGGCACACTCCAGACTTCATAATGCTGCTCATTAGTTCACTATTATTAAGACCATTGACCAGAAGATCACTGGTATCCATCTACAGAGCATCAGTGATATCGTGTGCAGGGTGACGGGAGCTAATTTTCATAATTTATAAATGCTATAGTAAATGGTTTTGATTGGATTAATCGTGTTATGTCATATTTAACTGTAAACATTTTTGATTTTGTTGCATACTGCTTTGGCAACTTTGTTTAATGAAACATTCATGCCAATAAAGCAGACTGAACTGAACTAGACAGAAGAAAGAGAAGTGTGTGTTTTTGCAGGGAAACAAGATCCTAACTCAGAAAACTGGATAATATGGTAAAAGAAACAGAAAAGAAAGAACAGAAGGAGTAATAGGAGGACAGAGGATGAGCTCTGAGGGAACAGGTGTGTCCTCTAACCCCTATCTCTGGCTAAAGGCAATGATTTGACATATCTTCTGCTACCCTGCTACTACCACAGATGGTGCAGCCTTATAAAAGCCTCAAAAATGACCTATGTGTTCACCACTGATGATCATTTCCAAATGTTGTGACTACTTTAGCTTTTTCCTAACAAGGGTATGCAGTAAATGCAGCCTGTGACTGTGTCACTCCAGGAGACATGTTAGAAATGCTGCTTTTAAAGGCTGAGAGGAGGATCCAGAAAGCTGTACTGACCGCTTGTTTTGTTTTGGAGATGTCTTCCATCTGAACATGTAGGTCTTCAATCTCTACCTCCATGGACTTACGAGCTTTAACTGCAGCTGCGCAGGTGAACTCAGACTCCTCTAGCTGCAATGGACACACAAATGGAAGAAAATCAATTATATATATATAGTCACTCTGCCTTACTATCAACTGATTCAGGTTCCAGAGAAAATACAGTCATTTTCTTCTCCAGACCAGAGTAGACAAAGTGGGTAAAATCTAGAGCAACTAGAAATGGTTGAGCATCCAAGAGGTTCTTCAGTTCTGACTGAGCGGCAGGGAGCCCCAGGTATTTAACCTCTGTGGGCTCATTATCAAGGTGATGGATACCACTTGGTTCGTTAGTGCTCCTGGCTAGGGCCAAGTCTGAACGATTGTCGCCAGTCAGTCAGAAAAGAAGTCTCTTGGATAAGAGGCAAAACGTCTTTAGGTATTTTCAACCAAGTCCACTTGCCCTTAATTTAACCCACCTTGGAAAACTATGACTTGGATGACAGAGAATCTGAGACATCTAGAACAGAGGTTTTCAAACTTGGGAGAGATGAGAGGCATGAGCAGTGTTTGCTTAAAAACATGTACTACTTGAACCAATCATATGCTGTGGGCGGGACAGAGAGAGACGGCTACATTAGAGCCAAAGCATTAGCACATTTTAAAATGAATTATAAATTTATAAAATAGAATAAAATCAAACATAGCTGCATGCCTTTGCCTCAGCTAATGTTTAGAGGAGCTGCTGAATGTAACTGGACATTCATTAGCAAATTAATGTTGCAAAAAAAGTAGCTTATTTCTTCACTTTAAATAGTCCAACTAAATAATTGGCTATATGGAAAAAAGGGGCCCAGCATCCAGTGGTGAGAGGGAGGATGCATGTTTTCTGTACATATCCGGTCGCATTTGTGTAGGATTTATACTGTTTTTTGCTGCCTGGCAGATTTTATCATGTAAATCCAGTGTTTTCTTATTTTGCTGAATCTCTGTGTCCTCCTGCAAACAAGGAGAAGCAACTAACCCACTAACAGCCTGTGGGGTAAGAAAATAAAAAGAAATGCTCTGTGCAGAGAAAGTACAGACAGCTGCTGATTCTGAGGACAGACAGGATAAACATCTACAGTATTTTGACCATCCATCCATCCATCCATCCATTATCTATAACTCTATATGTTTATCCTCAGAAGGTTGTCGGGGCTGGAGCAAATCCCAGCTGACATGGTGTGACAGGCGGTGTACAACCAGGACAGGTCACCAGTCAATCAAAAGGCTGACACATAGAGACAAACAACCATTCACGCTCACGCTCACCTGCAGGCAGTTTAGACCAGTGGTTCTCAAACCTTTTCACATCAAGGACCCCTAAACTGAGTCGGACACCCATGATAAAATTTTGTCCCAGGATTGAGCATCTGATAGGATTTTGGCATTTAGATGTTTGATTCCAGAAAGTGTATGAAATCCATGACCAAAATAGTCGTATGTTCAGTCACTATGTTACTTATGGATGGAATTATAGTCAAAATAAATGATTCCCCTTATTGCTGGGGACCCCCTGGAACACCCTCAAGGACCCCTGGGGGTCCCCGGACCCCACTTTGAGAACCACTGATTTAGACTGCCAATTTACCTAACCTGGATGTCTTTGGGCTGTGGGAGGACAGCGGGGTACCAGGAGAAAACATACAAACTCCATACTGTAAGGCCCCAGCTGGCGGCTGGGTTTAAACCCAGAACCCTCTTGCTTGATTATAATGTTTATTCTACTGTAATATTATTTCCATGCAAGTATACATACAGTGGTGTTATTTATGGATGTACCTGGTTCTTGAGCTGGGCGATCTCCCTCTTGCTTGGTGCGTTGTTCTTTATGTGGTCTAACATGATTTGGGCGTCAGCCAGCAGAGCCTTGGTTCTCTTCAGGTCCTTCCTCAAACGCTTCTCAGTCTCTATGTCACCACCTCTCACCTGGCAAACAGGTACAGTGAAGAGTGGTGACTCCGTTGATACATCAGGGATTAGACACAGACTCAGTCCATTTTACCATTTAAAGGATCGATCCCTAAATGTTGTACCATATCCATTTAAGCTGAATTTACACACACAATAAAGAGTTTGGCTTTTAGATGGAAATACAGTACAGATGGAAATCCAATCAAATATGAAGGTCTCCTTTATTGCTGATGTGAACAAACAGAATCGGCATCAGAAAACATTACACTTACACTTCAGGGTTTTCATGTTAGCGTGTGCCTTAAAAATGGCTAATTTATGACCTCAACCCAATTTTATATAAACAATATTCCCAACAAAGTTGTTTGGGAAAATTAGATAACATACAACCTGTTGACCACAGGTTTTGGGTGGGGTGACCTTTTCTGATCAGTGTTTTAGAAAACAGAAAAGGGATTCTGTTGATGAAGTCGTGTTGGGTTATGTCAGTACAAAAACCTCTACTAGGAAAGTGCAGTCACTGGGTCCAACCTGATCAACACGTCTCTGTGGTCACAGTGGACACCCAGATTTTAGATTCATAAAATTTTGACTGGTTTGGTTGCAGCGTTCTCTATTGTCTGGATGTCAAAGTTGGACATCAGTCTGAACTTAATCAATACTGGTGGCTCTCTTTGCATCTCAATTGCAGTCAGCAAAGTCAGATAAAAATTTGTTTGTTGTCAGTTTAATTGACTCACTTCAATCATATAAAAGGCTCACATCTCCACCCACACACCTAAACAGCAGTCGTGCTCTATCATTAAACTAAATAACATTATTAACATTCTGTTACCACCCTGCTCTGCACATAGGCCAACCAAATGGGCATGTGAGTGACAGACTTCAGGTTTCATATTCTAGAGGGATGTTGCAGGAAATAATACCAAGGTGTTTTCAGCACTGTTAAGCAGTAAGCAGTAACCTCAACTCAGAGACAAGTGAAAATCTATACACAATGTCACTTTGCATTGCTTAATATTGGATTTTGTTTTTATCTGTTTTAAAGTCTCCAGGATAAGCACGTCAACATGCATATAGTCACTTGCACTGTTTCATTTTTGGTAATTTGTTTTATAGGTATAAAGTTTAATATTGTATAATTTATTCTGGATTTCTGATACCGTTAGTATTATGTTTAATGTCACTTATCACTTTACTTTATTCCATGCTATCCACTTGCTGCTGTAATGTGGAAATTTCTCACCTGTGAGACAAACAAAGGCTGATCTTATCTTATCTTTACATGTTCGAATATTCTTCGACTGGACTCCACACCACAATGTACAGTGTAGTTACCTTGTCCTGTGCTGACAGAAGCTTCGACTCCAGCTCTCTCTTCTCTTTCAGCACCTTCTGCTTCTCATCGTACTCCTCTTCAAGCTGGACTTCCATTTGCTTCAACTAGACACAAAAAAAATAACCCACTTAATAAATAAACTAAGTCACAGTGCTGATCACACAGGAGTACACAAAGTAGTGGATATATGGCTGTTTACCAATGACAAAAACCAACATACTGTACAGACTTCTAAAGGTATATTTAAAAAGTCTAAAGCCCTTGTAAAATCGTGCCTCAAAACTACTAAAGATGTACAAAAGACAAAATGAATAACTGATAATAATTTGGTTTGACTGTTCTCAGAACCTTCCCACGTCGTGGCTAGTAATAAGTTGACAAGACAAACAATCTACAGCCATGCTGCCAGCTTTGTGAGGCTGTACTTTCTGGTAATGTTGCAACATTTACCAGTGTTGTCTCTTTGTTTAGCGTGTTGCCATGCTAACATTTGCTGATGAGCACTAATCACATAATACAAACTGATGCAGATGGACATGTTATTAGTTTTGCAGGTATCTGATCTTAAACCAAAGCAAACTGAAATTTTGACCTGATGCTGCTGCTAGATGAAATGTTGAGGAGAACAAACAAGATGAATTGTAACAATATCTGAACCAAATGTCTTGTGCCAATACATCTAATAGATGTTGATATACTTCACAGAATAATTGACCTGCTCAAGGCGCTAGAGAAAAAGTCAAGGGATCACCAAAGAGGACCAAGCATATGTACCACATTTTATGGAAATCAACAGATGTGAAGATATTTCATTCTGGATCGAAGTGTTGGACCAGCCAGCCAACCTTGCTATTTCTAGAGCCATGCTACTAGCATGGCAAAAAAAACCCCCAAAGAAATATGTCTTGGGAATAATGCCTCAAGAAAGGCCATATTTATGGTTTGTATTTCCCTTGAAGCATTAATGCTAAGCAAGTCCTTTGACAAGGGAAAGGGTTTAGACTCTGGAGTATAAATCACTTTGATCTTGCCTGATGATTGGGCCAAATTTGAAATCCTTGTGAATATCCACAGCAATTTTGTCTTTCGTAATCATCCTAATGGTAATATAATAATCCAACAATCCAACAATTTCCAAGGCAACCTATCTGTAGAGAAATCTTGTTGTGGACCAATGGTTGACTGTTTGACATCAGTAAGCTCGCAGACAGACAGATCGCAGGGTGAGAACTACACACTGACCCCACTTACTGAATAGTAAACCAATATCTTGTTACCACATTGACTGTAAAAATAGATGCATTCTAACACTGTCCAGTCCACAGTACCTTGAAATGAGCAAGGTTCTGTGTTGAGGCTAACGAGGCCTTTCAAAAAAAAATGTATTCACACACACACGGTTCTAGGGCAGTTTTCTTTCATTTATTTATCAGCTTCACCCATCATCAAATAATACATCACTATGTAAATGGCACTGGAAAACACTGTGTAGTACTCCCAGTTTGTGTAAGCAAATTATGCATGGGCTAATGAGGGCTCGACTGATGGAGGCCAGTGATGAGGCAGTCAGCACTGTCATAGCAAAAACAAATCCAAACAGTAATAGCACCAAAGCTAAAGATGCACCCAAATTCCAACAGCAAACCACCCTCTCACTTAATCTGCCACCCACATATTCCAGCGCACGTCTATTCCACTGCATTTCCACCATATTGATACCATATTGATTAAGCCACCAATGGGAGCCATTATGCTGACATATAAACAAATGTGACTCAAGAAAAAGTAAAAATATGTACAGGATCAAATTCTTAATCTAACAAATGCAATTATAAATACAGTTGGAAATGCGTTGTACGCTTATGTGTTGAACTAACATTTATTTTTAAAGAGAAATACTATGAATATTAGTTACTAAACCTAACAGGGATGGAAGGCAGGGATGGAATTACTATAATGGCTCATTGTAAATTCAGCATAAAAAACCTGCCGCAGCACTAATTCATCAGTAACAACATGACATACCCCGTGCCATACAATTCACTCAAACACTGGTATAATTAATTCATTTCATTTTATAAGAACCTACAGGAAAAGGAGGGATCATGCCCCTTGAGCTGCCGGGAGGCTTTTACTGTGAAATATCTGTAAAGGAAGTGTTGACAGCAAACTAAAAATGGCAACGTAGAAATCCCTGTAGATTATAAATGATTGAAAACTGTATTTCTGTGAGAGAAGAGAGTGAGAGCAGCAAAGTGTTGAGTATGACATGACTTTTGTTATACTGATGGAAGGAGTGGAGTGGAAATGTTTTGCTGACAGGTAACAGGTAAACAGCAAATCAGGGAAATATGATCACTAAAGAGATATATTTCTGGTTGCGGGCTTCCTGCTTTCCCCATGCTCAACACCCTCTGCTACGATTATTAGTATTATTATCATTAATATTACTATGATTATTAGTACTATTATTCATTTTCACTGTTGTCTGTACCACTACCACCATTACTATTGTTTTACTCCCCCCAAATGTTGGGTGTAACATAGGGCCCAGTGACTATTTAAGGAACTATCTGGATGGTAACCACAAGGGCCACATTAAGAAAATTTGTGTGTTGCACATGTCAGAAAAGCAATGGAGCAAAACTGTAATTCTGCATTCTTCCTGCAAGAAGGAAGGCTATATGTCAAATAGTTAAATGATTTTGTCATTTCAACAACAGCGATTGACTAAAAAAGAACCTAAAACCATGAAAAATAACTGGTAGTGATTTTTGGTCTTAAAATTAGAATAAATACATTTTGCAGGGTTTTCGGAACTTGACCTATATGTCAGGATATTTTGGTCTCTGCTGCTTCAATTTGGCCATTCTTTTTTAATCCGCCTCTTGTGAGTTGCCTTTTAATAAGTATTTGATTGGCTGATTCAGTCGTTAACACTGATCAGCGCCAATGTTAGGAAAATTACAAATTCAATCAGCAGTCAAAATCAGCAGTAAAATGAAATGGTTTAATTAGCATTTTATTTATTGCAGTATTGTGTTAATGTTGTAACTGTTTCTGTTTTTACACCTACTTCTCCCACACATTAAATCATGGATGTACGTGATATGAACCTCCTTACCTTCTTGCTGCAGGACTGTCTGATCTCCTCCACCTCATCGTCTTTGCTCTCGATCTCCTTGGAATGAGTTTGACGCAAACGCTCCATCTCCATCTCCAGACGCAGCTTGGCCTGAAAAAAAAACACAGACATTACACACTCAGCTCTCATTATGTTTTAAAGGAACACTTTGCTGATCTTGTATTATGTATGTATGAATAATAATGTATGAACTGGTAAGAGCAATCATGTGCATAGCTGTGTCTGCCACATTATTGTTCGATATGATGTGTCAGTGGCCTGACACTAAATGTTGAGTTGTTGAAACAGGAGTTTGGTAAATCCTGGCTGCATTCCGCCTTTAATCTGGCAAAGCTGTGCCTAAAGTCCTGTCGCTACCAGAGAGTTGCACAGCAAAGTTCAAAGAGACACAGCAGGGGCACCAACACAGAGTTCCAGCAGAAAAAATGCAAGATCATTCTGCAAGGTAGTTGAACCTGGCTCAACTTTCACAGTATTACAACTGCAATGCATGCTTGTCATAATTCTATATCATAATTCCAGAATTTGGAAGTTAGCAGTGTTGTTACTGAATGCCGTAAAATGAACTTTTATAGGGTAAGAACAGGTCTCTGTTTGTTATGGAGCGGGATCAGGGATATGCATTACCTTTCAAATGTTAGAAAATACGCACTTACTGACTGATGTAATTGATTGTGTAATCAGATGCAGTCATCCATTCATTCACATATGAATGTGCTGTGCTGTGTAGGGCTATAATGAGTTACTGTGCTTTTCTTGATTGCTATTTGTTCTGTGGTTATTGACATACAGTGTGAGCTACTTTGTTCCTGTAGGCTGGCTAAAGGTAGAGTGGTTGTTTGATAGTCAGAGACAGCAGGCTGAGGTGGTTTGAGCCCAGGGCAGGCTGTGTTTGTAGATTTGGCACTTCAGTTGCTGTCCATGGCGCAGATCAAAAGCTGCAGATTTGCTATTAAAATATTAGTTCAACATTTTGGGAAATGTGTACACTTTTTAATCATTCTCAAGACATATTAGCTTTTTAAAAATGTATCTGCATTCAAATCATCGTCAGAAAATAGCAGATGGACGGAAGAGGAAGTCTTGGCCCAGATATTCTCTGGCTACACTGGAAGCCCGGAAACATTGGCCGTTGTCCCAGAGGCTAAATCGTCGTCAAACAATAGCCCATGGGTTCTGAGACCGGTCAGGATGAGGTTAGCCTAGCTCAGCATAAAGACTAGAAGCAGGGGGATTTCAGCTCATTGACTTCAGATCAGCTATTAAAAGGATAGTTCCCTCCAGGCTTGTCACAAAGCTCAAGGACCTGGGATTAAACACCCCGATGTGCATGTGATGGGCAGACCCCAGGTGGTGAGGGTGGGTAGACACATCTCGTCCACCCTCATCTTCGACACTGGTGCACCCCATGGCTGTATTTCGAGTGCCCCGCAGAACTCCCTGTACACATACGACTGTGTATCCACTTCAGTTTATAGACGACACAGCTGTGGTGTGCCTGATCACAGATCACAGTGAAAAGGCCTATCTCAAGGAGACGGGGAGCCACCAATGGGTGGTGCGTCAGTAAGGGCCTTTCCAAAACTGCTTGCTACTCCCTCTCCCTACAAACTTTCCACTCCGTTTGCGTGTTCATGCGGAGGGTCCGCCACATTGAGTGCCATCCCAAACCAGTGAGGGTGGAGTGGTAGTGGGTTATTAAACCCTCGAATGCCGAGTCAGCGCCAATGCTGGCTTGTTGAAGGTGTGTAACACCCTTTGCTGCACGATGGGGGACCTTTCTTTTAATTTGCGTTCTGTGTGACTTCGCCGGTTAACATTTTATATTCTGAAATTACACTAACATTTCATATCACAATTCACAGGAAAACAACATTGTGTTTATAAAAAATTATCTTGTCTGACAGACAATACAACTGTTGTTTTTATTGATTCGTATTCATCTTATACGAAAATCTTCAGCCAAAGAAAATAGCCTACAGCAAACAACAGAATAATAGAACACAACGGAATACACAGGGGGATCACGTTAAGTCTTTATACATTTGAACTGTTTTAAATTCTTCAGACTATATAATGCTTCATAATTTCTGATTTATATTGAAATGTTGTATTTGTGAAAGTAACATTTTCATATTGGCTAAGATAAAGAGGTCCAAATATATATTCTTTTCTTTACAATAAATATCAGTCTTTTCATAGAAGAATATAATATTTAATTTTCGTCAATATCTAAAGTCATGTTCTTAAAGAAATATAAACACAAAATGAATGACAAATGCAATCAATCCTGAATCTTAATACCACTGTTGTTTATTTGATGCACATATTAGCAGGGAGTGCGGCGGTAACGTCAGATCCTGTTTACTCCGGGGGGAGAGGGTAGTTCGTCCGAAAGTTGTCCGCTGTATTTACACCCAAGTGGGTTAGGGAGCTCGACTTGGCTGTGAGGGTGACTCCGACCAGAGTTCACTCTGTGTCGGAGTGGAAGTGGCGAAGGTCTAGTTTCGGAAAGGCCCCAAGACTAAAGAGCTGATAGTGGACTGCGGCCCCCTTAATATCAACTGTTCCTCTGTGGAGAGGGTGGACAGCTTCTAGTACCTTGGTGTCCGCATCACCGAGGGCCTGACCTGGGTTCTGCATACTGACTCAGTGGTGAGAAAGGCAAGGCAGAGACGGTTTCACCTCAGACGTTTGAGGAAATTCCCGGTATCAATTTCTACTCCTGCAACTTCAAGAGCGTTCTGACGGGAAAATCATTGCCAGGAACGAAAACAGCACCATAGAGGACCGCAAGACCCTGCAAAGAGTGGTTCATTCAGCTGAACATACAATAGGCGGTGCTCTACACTGCTTAAAGGACATTTACATCAGGCGCTGCATGAATAAGGTTAGGAAAATCATAAGAATCCCAACCACCCAGCTAAGAGCCTTTTTCCCAGCTGCGGTTGGAAGAAGGTAGGCCTCTGGATACACCAGGCCAGCACTGAGAGGCTCAGGATGAGATTCTACCCTCCGGTCGTTCGGATCCTAAATGAGGGCCCCCTGTATCTAGTTAAACTTGTTGTGGATTACATTTCACTGTGATTGTACCTTTAGCCTAGTACATGTGTTAAATAAACTTGATTGATTGGTTGGTTGATTCTATCAGCTGGATACAGTAAGCAGTAGTTTTCCACTATATCATATTTGAAAACAGTCTACAGTAGCCTAACTTCTTCCTACTGTCTGAAATTAAAGCACCTGTAAAATATTAGTGTGAGTCACAACGCAACACAGCAGTTGACTTCCCAGCACTAACAGGAAATACGGTTAGTGTCTCTGAGACAACACTGCACTGGCTGTGTGTCTTCGTGTTAACAAATAAGAGCCCCAGGGAGTTATCTGGACATTTAACACCATCCACATAACTGACACAAGAGTGACTAGATAGTCAGTATTGCAGCTTTTTTTATAAAACCACTGAATCAAATGTGTAAAGTGAAAGATGTTGCTCAGAGACAAAACCCAGAGAAAATTATCACCAACTCTGCAGTTCCCCCCAGTTCTATGGAGCTCTATAGTGTCTTTCAGCTAATCGCTTTGTTTTTACAACACATGTACTGTATGGCTCAGTTTTAAACAAATTCTGATGAACTTACGGCATCTTTCCAGCGCCAAACAGCAGACGGACAAAGTTAGGTAAGATTAGCTGGTGAACACACTGTAGTGGAGCATTTAGTGGCTGGAGGGACAGATATTTTTCTCTGGAGTTGGTGAAGAGCACAAGAGTGATAAAAGTGTTGTGTTGAATATTTTCACAGTGCTCTGTCTGTACCTGCTCCAGCATCTGGATGGTGCCGGCCTGCTCGTCCAGTTCCTCCTCCTGGTCCTTCACCTTGGCCTCCATGTCGCGAAGCTGCTTCCTCACCTGAATAACAAAAAAATTACAAAAACACATCCACGTACATAATACAAAGATAATAAAATAGAACTAGAATAGGCTGAGTTGACATTCATTTTAATGTGGGTTTGTATTTGTATAACAGACTGGATTTCTGACTAAGTACAAAGTTTGAGTACAAAGAAAGAAAGAAAGAAAGCAAACCTTGGCCAGCGATGCTTCATCCTTGGATTCCTGGGAGTTGAGGTCCTGCAGCTCAGCCTCCAGCTGGTCCAGCTTCAGGTTGAGTGCACACACCTCCAGATCCTTGTCCTGCAGGACGGAAGGTTAAAGTCAGAACATAGAGGACGGGACGGTCAGGGAGGTAAAGTACCAACATGGAACAGGAACAGACACATACACATGATTAAGGAAGGAACAGAGACACACAATATTTCCACAACTTGGATTCATAATTACAAACTCATGCTGTATGGACATGTGCATTACAAACCTACAGACCCTTATGATCCAAAAGTTTCCATTCACCAAATAAAATATTTTAAATTACAAGGCAAAGTGTATAAAATGTTGCATGAGCCTGTACAGTAAATTTTTCAATTATTGGATGAAATGGTGCAGCAAAAAATCTGGACCTCTTGGATTTAAGTAGTCACCTTATAAAATGTAGGTAGACAAAATGTCAATAAAATAAAAAGGTAACTTTCATTGCAAACAGCTACAATCATGCATCATATGTTATGTTTATTCCATTTAGCAACATTTGCTTCATATGTCCTGTTGGTCAGTTTTGCACCGTATCTGTTTTCTTTTCACGTTATAGCTTTAACGACTGATTATAAATAAAGAAAATAAAGATAAAGTATAGTATAAAGGTAACACTGGAAATTTCTTTTGGTTTGTTAGCCTGAAAAAAAACAAAACCTTGGATGATGCCACCTTGGCTCTGGGACCTTCTCATGGGCATTTTTCATTATATTTAATGAATCTAAAAGTTATCAACATCGTAATCTTGTGAAAGTTTGAAATTTGACCTTAAATAATAGTTGAATGACTTATTTACTGGGCAGAAATTACTGTCAATATTTTAGAGACAAATCACATTTTTAGGTGAGCGCCTGGCTTCTCTGTAGGCTGTCATATAATGCTTACATATGCTTAAGGATAGTCTTTATAACTTCTACTGTGGATTCAGTGGGTGGGACAAATCTGTGAGTGTTTCCACACCATGGGCATGAAAATAAACTATGAATGGGCACCACAGAGTGGAAAATCCCACTATAACTACAGCAAACCTGTATGTGATTCCACAAAGACAAAAAAACACCACCAAGTTTTGTGTCACAAACTGGAGCCCACGACACAAACCTCCAACTGCTGTCGGAGGCTGAAAGCGTCTCCGCTCTGCATGTCTTTCTCGCGCGCCAGTTTCTCCCTCAGGCTCCGCTCCCTCTGCACCTCCTCCTGGGCTGCACTCAGCTCACTGTCAAACCTGCACATACACACACATGTTCACACACTCCACTAATTATTGCTGTCAAAACACTCTAATGGTGCACAGCTCTGATGAAATTTGAGAAGTAAAATGCATAGTGTGAAAGTTCATGAAAAATATATTCACTGAAAATGTGCTTAGCATGTCACAAAGAAGATTGTGCATGTCACCTGTGTTTTAACTACAGCATGCATATTCAGCAACACATATACAGCTACGCAGCATGGGCCATGCTAAGTATAGCAGTAGTACAAATTAACTGGAGATCTAGCCTGCCTGTTCTCTCTGCACAAAATGATGCTATAAACAATCAGGAACACAAAATACACTATATTCACAAAAGTTTTTGGACGCCCACCTTTACATGCACATGAAGGGTAATTGCATCCCATTCTTAATCGGTATGGTTTAATATGGAGTTGGCCTGCCCTTTGCAGCTGTAACAGCTTCAACTCTTCTGAAAAGGCTGTCTACAAGGTTTAGGAGTGTGTTCATGGGAATTTATGACAATTCTTCTAGGAGCAAATTTGTGAAGTGGCGGCGTGCTTTACACACTTTTAGCAATATAGTGTAGTTATTATTGATACTACGGCAACACCACTGGACCCTACACAGTCTATGTTATGTGACCATGGCAGATTCTCAAACATGACTGTGTGTGTGTGTGTGTACGCGCGCATACTGACTTCCTCTGTTTCTTCTCAAGGTCGTGGTTGCGGCTCTGTTGGCCCTCCAAGTGAAGTTTGGTGTCCTGCAGCTCTGCTGTGAGTCGTTGGGTTTTCTTCTTCAGCTGCTGAATGTTTCGCTGGGACTCCTCGTTATCGGCCTGCAGGTCGCTGATCTGCATAAACACAAGAGACAACAAATCAGAAGAAAACTTTCAACATGTTGAAAAGCTTATTGCTGGGAAATGCCCAGAAAAAAATGTAATTCAGTGTGTGACCACTAGAGACCCACAGACCCAATACAATCTATAGAACAGGATGAAGTAGGTTTGAAAATGAAAGCAGACTGAGTGTACAGCAATGCAGCAAGCTTTGTGAGGCTGTACTTACACACAGCAGTGCTTTGAGCTATACGTTAATGTTTACTAGGTATAACGTTTACCATGTTCACTATCTTAGTTGACAGTAACTGAAAGTTAAACTGATATTTTGAACTGATGACGGCGCTGGATGAAGGTAAGGGGATCAATGTTATTAGGGGCCAAAGTTATAATTATTATTTTTCTTACGAGGAAACCTGCTTTCCCATGCATAAAAATAAACAAAACCTCTGCACATAGGTCCAGTCTTAAGCCAGACTTCCTTAACAGGCATTGTGGGCTAATGATGATTTGAATGATCCAATTGAGGCCACAGAACACTTCCATCCTCGTGTAAACTAGTTCAGTCAAATAGAGCATCTTTAAACATCTCTTTGTCACATATAGAGCAATCTTTGCAAAATGCCTGGCCCCAACCCAATGCTGCTCAGCAGCTATAATTACAATTCATTCTCTGGGGACAATGGATGTGTGTACCAAATCCTATAGTGGCACAGGAAAAGTCAGAGGATCACCAAAGTCATTAAGATTGTACAAAAATTGTAATCAAAAAGATGTTGCAGTCAGTACAGAGACGGAGCACAGTGACTAAGTAAACGCTTCAGAAAGGAAGTGAATCCACTCACCCTCCTCTCCAGCTGCCGTTTGTTCTGCTGCTCCACCTCCAGCTTGTCATCAAACTCCTGCTGTAGTCTCTTCTTGGTGAATTCAATCTCCCTGATGGCTCGTTCATACTTTAGCCTCCACTCTCCACCTGTAACATCAGCATGTTCACAGTCACAGTCTGCTTCATCTCATTTCTGTCATACCTGAATATGTTTACACGGTCTGCATACCTCCCTCTAAAACAACAACACTGTATTAATTTGAAATGGGGATTTCAGAAAAAAATCAAAGAAAGAAGAAAGAAAACTTCTGTGTGTCATAAACTACATTTACAAGGGACAATGATAATTTGATTCTAATCTTAGTTGTAACTCAGCAAATCTACATATTATGATGTTTGTGTAGTCCCATATATCAATGTTTCCAGCACATTTTGAATGGGCAAGCATTAAACCATTTCTATGTTATGGAAGTCTCAAAAAAAACAGTAAAAGCAAGCTTAGTCTATGCACAGGAAGAGCTCAGGGGAAAACTCCAGAATTATGGCTCAAGATATCCTGACTTCAGTTAGCCAGATGTGACATATCTGGATTTCTCTGTTTGAGAACAGCTGTGTTCAATTCAAGAATAGAGTGGTTAAACTAGTTTAAATTTAATTGTGAACATTAACAGTGATCTTGAAAAAACACGTTTGGGTGATTCCAGCTGAAAAAAATACATCTCTCTGTATGATCCAACCCCTCTTTTATAAGTACATTTGATCATATTTCAGTAAGAAGCCTTTGTTTCCTGAGCTCCTCCTGTTTTAATTAGGTCTTGATGCAAACTCAATACTTCCTAAATGTTTATTTGTTGTCTTGATAAATTCAGTATAATGTACATTTCCACAACACAAATTCCAGTAATTCAGTACAACAACAGAGTCAAGTCATACTGGCCACTCTTACTATTTAATGTTTCAAGAAAGGAAGTATTTGTGATTTTTTTCTGGTCACTTGTTGTTCTCTAAATAGTGGACAGTTTAACATCTTTAGTTCCAAGACAACTGAGCAAAATCATCTACTGATGAACAGCGTGAGATTCAGTCCAAAGTCCAAGACAGGCAAATAAGTGGCCCCTGAGTTATTGTCATCTACATCCACATAGTTTCAGAGAATTCCTCTGTAACAGTACAATTATCTATGTTTTGAATAGCAGTAGATTGTATGTGGAAGCTTTAAAAGGCACAGGAAACCAATGATCTCAATAAGCTTCAACATGAACACACACCGTTTCTGCCAAAGTTAGAACAGTTTAGATTGTTTCCATGAGAGATTTCTGTTTTTGTGTTTTTGTCTGCCTTATCTGACTGGTTTGAAGTAGGTGGGGCTCAGTGGGAAAAAGGGGGAGCTGCAACTTCCCATTCTGGCCAATGAGAAATATCATTTCAAATAATTTTAACAATTACTATTTATGTACCTTTGAATAAATTATACAGTTGTCGTTCATATATGAAACCAGTGGTAAATGTGGTACCGCCTGATAGCTTTTGTAAATCGGGTGTGTTTTCTTGTTTTGGTGAAACTGAGTCTCTGTGTCCTCTTTTCCCACAGAGAAAAAATTAACGCATTATTAACCTGTGGAGGTGAGGAAAAAAAACAAACGCTCTGTCTAGGGAAAATACTGACAGGCAGACAGATGTGACAGAGTGGACATCTACAGTATTACTACCTCACAAAGTGTCACGTTTTTTTCAGTTTTGCAGCTTTGACCGAGTCAGCAGCTGAGCTTGCTGAAGGCTGAAATATCCTTGATCATATGGATCATATTGTTTATCCAGCTGTAATATTATTTCCACAGAATTTTCATATTAACTGCAGAAAATGGGATAATATACGTTCCTGCAGGCATGTTTGTACTAACAGTAAATGATGAAAGATGTTGGGCATCATGAAAACCCTTCACAACCTGGAAACATTATTGCCAGTTTCAATTTTTTATTTCCTTGCTGACCTGTTTTCAGAGCCGTCACACCACCATCCTACATTTGGTCACACTGCAGATACACTGAGCTGGCAGATAATGTGGGGATTATGGGGGCACATTTTTCAGTATGAAAATAGCAGATAACAATTGGTATGTAAGGCTGTGTTAACATCAGCTCTGCTTCAAAAACCTCAATCATGTCAGTAAGACCATTGTATTGGTACAGTAGGAACCCCAATGCAGAGGGCTACAGAGAGTAAAACACAATGCCACAAAATACATGCAAGAACACATTCCTGGTAGTGTTAATTGAACGGGATGATTCTCAGTCACTGCAGATTTATTTTCTGTCTGAACACCTGTTTTCAGAGTACTATGTAACATAGCTACTTAGGCTTAAAGAGGTCATATTATGCTTTTTGGCTTTTCCCCTTTCCTTTATTAAGTTATATATCTTTTTTGTGCATGTAATAGGTTTGCAAAGTGAAAAAGCCCAAAGTCCAGCCCAAAGTGAGTTCCCATCTCCCACAGAAAGCTCTGCTCTGAACTACCTGAAAACAGCTTGCCAAGCTGGTCGGCAACAGCCTACAGCTGAACCGAAGTCGTGTTTGCTTCTCACGACCCACCCTTCTCTGCTTCTGATTGGCTAGTAGTCCTTAACTAGGAACTGCGCATGTGCAACTCCCAACAAAAATCATTTAGAGACAAGATGTATTACTCCATAGCTAAAACGAAGCCTTCAACACAGGGTGAAAAGAGGAGCTGCAGCAATGTGCAGTATGAAAAAAAAATATGGTGTTTTTTGAAAATTAAACCATGTAAACCTGTTCTGGTACAACCCCTAAATAAAGATATTGAACCTGAAAATGAGCATAATACCACCTCTTTAAGTTGTCCCACCTCAACAGATGTGACAAAACTCACAGAACTGTCACTTAGGCTTGATCTGTACATGCAGTCAGAAACCTGTGTGGGTGTGCAGCAGCTTCAGCAGAAGTCTCACAGTTAACATAAATATAAGTCTCGGCAGTTGGTCACTTCTGTTATTTTGTGTGTGTGTAGGAGTGTCTGACCTGTGTCGTCATCATCCATTTCTCCATTGAGCTCAGAAGCCCTGATGAGTCGAGCCTCCATCACCTCCATCTCCATGGATTCCATCTGTTTCTTCATGCTGTCAAACTTGGCCTGGTGGACAAGAAAGAAGAAGTGGTTACTATGACAACATCAACACATCTCTCGTCTCTATAGATAACCCCAGGTGTTTCTCAGGTTTTCATGTATTAAGAGTCTAAGAACAAGCACACACAGGACCAGATCAAGTCTCAGGGCAGCCGGGGGGACTGAAATGTCAGCTTCAGTTGGTCCATCATGATGTGATTATTGCTGCAGAAGGAGAGTGAAAAATGAAGCTTATCATGATAAATCATTTGTGCAACTTTTATTTTGGTAGGTAAATGTGGCTGGTAGTTAGTACAGATCTTAAACCAGGAAAGTTGACATTTGCTCAAAATCAAGCCTCCCCATTAAGCTCTGTAATTCAAATGGTTAGTCTGAGGTTTTAGGTTACAAAAGGTGCCGTTTAAGGAAAATGGTTTTGCTGAGATTAGAATAGGTAGAGCCAGTTGGGAGGTCTGTGCAGGGGAGTAGGTAAGCTGCAGGCGAATAAAACTTCAAGGTATTCATTTACAATGATGATCTGGACTTTTAACAGAGGTACTGAATTTGGTTATTTCATGGATAAAAATAACAGCCATTGCTTACATTTAAAGCAATCTTACAAAGAGAACATCTGCAGAAGGATTATAATACTAATGTAATACTAGATATGGATACAAAATATTGGTACATCCCCTCCAGTGTTTCCCCTATATGCATTCAGGAGTGGCGGTGTGCCGCTGCTGAATTATGATGTCGCTACTAAAAGTTCACACAATTGTTAATTATTATATCAATGCGCTACTAATTTTCACTCACACAGGGTAACACTCATCGCTTGGCTTGCCTCCTCTCCTCATTCTTCAAAGGGCATCTATGTGACAGGTGCTGTTATAAGAGCAAAGTAACTCCTTATCGGGATGTGCGTAGCAAGTTTCATTGTCCGAGCGGCAGAAAGTGGTGAACGTGAGCAGAGGAAAATATTCTGGCAGTAAATGTACTGAGTCGGTTACGGTGTGTTAGATTTTCAAGACCAAGAAAAGTCTGGCTGTTGTTTCCCAGCTGCTGGAAAAGTGAAACCTGTGTGCGCTAGCTAACATGTCCCCTCCCCTTCAGACTGCCAGCTGAGCAGGAAAGCTTCTACAGTAGGCTGTAACTTACCCTTATCTCTATTTATAGAAACTAACTGGTAGCTGTATTTTATTACTACCTACTTGTCCAATGTTGAGAACATCAGGTACAAACTGGTGTAGCCTATAGCTCTGTCCCGTACAGACCGGTACATCCTAAATTATTTTCCAGATGAGTCTGAAAAAGTGGTTTTGGAAAAGAAAGGACAGTTGTGACTGGAGCAGCTGAGGTTAGTAAAGCTAATCAGTGATGCAAACTAGTCCTTATAAGCTGATGAGGAGACGTTTCTGTTCCTGTTCTGATTTTAATGTGCAAATAAAATGCATCTCAGAAGGGAGGAGGTTTCTGAAGTTGCCTTTTTTTTAATATGTCAAAAGCTGTAAAATGAAGACACAAAAGGCAAACATGAACAAACGTATCTGTAATGATTCTGAGGTCACATTAACTGGGTTTTAGGGGGTGATGCCCAAAACATGCTGTGCCATAAATGTTACGTCACTGTGGAGAGCATCATAACCAACCAAATTACTTTCCCCAATCTAATGGTTGTATTTCCTCCCCAGTAGACTGATCTTTGGATATTTATTATCTGCTCTAGCTTTTCCAAATATTTGTTCAGAGATATTGTGAAAATAATGGCCCAATGTGATGTGAAATTACATGTTTTTCATTGGAAAACGTAAAATTTTCCTGGTGGAGGACCCCTTAACCCCCCCCCACTCCCCCGGCCACGACCCTCACCAAAACATTAATCTAAAGCTCACATTAAACTGGGAAAACACTGACATTTTTAGCTATTCTAATGTGCAGTGCATGCTCATGAACACAAGAGCAATGATGCTGAGACTTGTTGTGTTGGGGTTTTATATTCAGGCATACTACGCACTAAGCGCACAAAAAAGAAAATTGCTTCACCTCCGCTGTTCATACATTTACAAATTTTTTTACAAAAATTATAGTTAATTGAATTATAGTGACATTTTAATTGACAGATATTGTAGTGTAGTTGTTTTATTTGGTGACCATCTTTGGTGTGGAAGGGTATTAGGATAAGGTAAAAGACTATTTCATCAATCACAATCAAATTTTAGAGTTGACATGGATATAAATTAATTTCAAAAGAATCCCTGCATTTATGATATGTAAAAAAGTGACAAAATTCCCCCAAATGTTATCCACAGCTTATCAAAGTACAATTATTTGTACATTATTAGAAAATGTAAGGTACATAAGTAGTTTAAGTAAGTGTAAGGACGGTTGCTTTGCTGAGGTTTGGAATAAAACCCAAACTTTGTCCCTACTGAGAGACAACTAGTCCAGATGGTCAGATTTCATCTAAGAATCACCAAAAACAGGTCTGTCAAAACATACAAGCTGCTGGAACACTGTCCAACAAAAATATTGTTAATGTCATGTCCAAAACTCTTTAGACTTGTCAAAAGATTAAAAAACTGTTCAGGGCTACCATAGAATAAGGAAACCTGTGAGGAACGTTTTGTGGCCTGATGAAATAAAGATGGAGTTCTATGTTGTACTAGTATGTTTGGAGGAGAAAAGGAGAGACATTCAACCACAAGAACACTGTACCGTCTGGTGGTAATAAGCTCAGGGGCTGATCTGCTGCCAGTGGAACTGAAGATACCTTCAGGACGACATCAAACCTTCTGCTAGAAACCGAAAAATGACCCTAACACACATCAAAGAAACCTGTTGATGGCAGCCAAAAGCAGTTGATTGAGGTGAAAAATGCTACAGCAACCACATTTTAGCAGTGGAGTATGTACATTTCGACCCATTAGCTTTAGTTATATTTCCTGAAGACACACACAAGAAACCACCTTTCTGAATGTGCTTTTCAATCATTGTATTACCAAAAATAAAAAATAAAATGACAGTTACTGCCATTATATATATGTCCCTTACAAATGTTTGGAGACTCTGGACCTCCACTGTACGTTCATTTTGAACTTAGTGCCAGTTGTTACTTTTAACCAGCGCTTGAAGAGGAAAAAAAATAGGTGCCAGTCAGTTTGGGTTGTGGTGGGGACATAAGGGCTCAGATTAGGGGTGTGACTACACTTGGGTCACGAGACCAAGATGAGAAGATATTTTAACATTATTTTGAATAAATATTTGATGCTGAAATATGAGTGTGGGTCTGGGGGTTCTCCCCCAGAAGACTTTGAGCATTAAACACTTAATTTCCTGCATTCTGGAGATACTTTCTGCACCAATTTATGGTGGAAATGTCTTTATTTATATGAAGGGAAACAAAATTAAGGTGGCATGTCACAATTCAAAATATAATGGAATATAATGCAGGAATCAGTAGCTTGTTGTTTTAGCTTAACTTACTTTTCTGTTTCTTCTATATTTTAGTTGCATTACATGTTTTCTTATTGTGCATCGTTTCATCTTTTATTTAACATTTCTTGTTGCTGTTTTCCAGGACATTTTTAACAAAAGCTTTCAAAAAGTGATGGAGACATGTCCCCAGTGTAAATGACACTATCTGTCAATATCTTTAAATGTCCCGCCCCATCCACGCTGTGATTGGTCGGTTCACTAAGCTACTTTCTGCACACAGCTGATTGAAAGGCACCTGAGCTTCTCTTCTCCCTGCTGTGTCTCGCCGACAGAGATTAGCAAGCAGGCAAGAACGGGAACAGGTGAGCGTCACGTAGCGCCCAGAGAACCTGATATGGAGGGCAGAGGAGAGGACTGACAGCTTGTGAAAAGTGCCAGTACGCAAGAAAAGATCCCAGTAGAGTGAAATGTTGAGGTGCCAGTACTGCATATCAAGCTACTTCAAGCACTGCTTTAAACTGTAATCCTGAGGACTTGAGATTCTTGGACCTCATTTTGAAACACTACGATAACAAGAAATGACTGTCTAAATTAATCCAAGTATGTAAGTACATCTGGTCCATTCCATTGCAACATTCCCGACATGCAATGCATGCTTTCCCTCTGTGTGTGAATACCTGCGTTGCCCCCTTTTGTCTCTCCTGCCATCACACACACAAAAGGATTCTGTCTGCTTTTGTAGGCAGCCCCTCCCCATGGTTATCTCAGCAATCACTCTAAAAGATCTATCTTAATACCCCCAATACAAATAGAGAAAAAAGCATATAAAAAATGTCAAATAGTGAACTAAGTGGATCAAGGGAGGAGGGGGAGGGCAGTGGCGGATAAAAGGCCTGACAATATGATTTCACAATTACAGTCATCACTGTGCATGTGAGCGTGTGGAGATGTGAGAGAAGGAGGCAGCAGGAGAAGAGAACGCTGTTGGAGAACAGAAAAGTGGATCATTTCCCCTCCTGGTTGAGTCTAATCCATTTGACATGTAGCTCATCAGAGCAACTTCTGCCACTTTTGTGTTTCTATGCATTGGTTTTTTATCCCTGCCTATTTCATAGTGCGTTTTAATAATGCTCCTTTGAACCATACCTGTTCTTGGCACTTACTGTAAATGTCCATGTATGAATGACAGCATGGTGTTTTAGTACTGACTGTATCGAAGTATACTGTAATACTACAACTGCATGCCATATACACAGCTCATTCATCCCTTCATAAAGCGACTACACAGTAAAAGATAGGGGACAAAATCTACAGTCCTCCAAAATAATACATTCTAAAGTTCGGCTGAAGCTAATATGAGGCTTCTGCAGTCAGTCAGACAAGTAATGCGTCATCTTTTTGTGTGGTAGTTGAGTGTAATTTCATTTTAGGTATTTTGTCCCAGACATGCAACTAAACACACCTGACTTAAGAATCATAATGCCCTAATCTGAATTCATTTGTTATAGTTGGAGTTTAAATAAGATCATGAAATCAACTGACACACTGAACTAAAATGAACTTAATGCAAAACGAATATTCTGGCCACCATATAATCATAGCTTGCCAATTTACTGAGAAGCTGTTTTTTGTTTTTTATTTTATGGATTTTGGCATCTCTCAGCCGCAGTTGTAGTTGGTGGAAATTCTGCCTTGGGGTCTTAATGCAAGTCATCACCTACTGTAGACTAGAATATTCTCTTGTCTAATATCTCCATGACACGTCCCCTTGACTGCCTCTTATTAGCCATGGACTGCTTTGAGTTAGAAAGATGTATTTTAGCATCTCATTTCGTGTCAAACCTCTCCCTCTAAATTCCTAGCACAGTACAGTGCTGCTCTGATTAGGGCAGCTAACCCTAATACCACTGCTGACACTGCTGAATGTGTTGTGTTTTTGTCTGTTGGCTTTCGACAGCAGATGAGCGGCCTGAAAATCTTTTCACACTTTGCTACATTTCTGTTAATGAAACTTGCTCACAAACGGAGAACTTATGAAGCAATTTAGGGACACTGATGATCAAATCTCACAAATGCATGACTGCTCATGAACAGGTAACATCCACAGGCTTAAACAAGAAGAAAGAGAAAAGTAAAAGAGTATTAGGATAAATATAAAAACATTCTCATTTGAGGCCTAATGTGAGCACTGACATTAAAATGACATATAAAGTAATTTAAATAATTTATCTTAAATCTGTGACAAAAAAAACCCTAAAGAAATAATAATAATATTAGATAAATTAAACGGGATTTCATCACTCACAACCAAATTTTAGAGTTGACATGGATATGAATGCATTTCAGAAGAATCCCTGCATGTATGAGATGTAAAAAAGGGAATGTTTTTCAAAGCTAGTGTGACTTTGTTAACCTAATTGGGTGAAAACAGTTCCAATTTTGTTATTAGTTATGGCACTGTAAATGCAGCCCAAGTAATCTTTGAAAAAGTGTATTTGTTTCTACAATGAAAGACTCAGGAAACACTGAACAAACCAGGATTTTGTCATTATAGGTGAAAAACTCATTTAGACGGAGGATTTACAGCCCAGCAGGCCGTGCTCTCCTGCTGTCTCACAGCAGCACCACCCCTGAAGAGCTGGAATCTTTTAATCCGGTACCTGGGAATATACTAGCTAATTTGTAATTTGCTCCTATGTGTGTGTGTGTGTGTGTGTGTGTGTGTGTGTGTGGGGGGGGGGGTGTTATTGTTACTATGCAACATTAACTCTTAATTTTAGTTCCATATGCACTTGGTGAGGACAAACAGCTGTGAATTAATCACTGATGAAAGAAAAAAGGTGAGATACAGTAAGTGACAGAATTCTAAGTGGAACATGTGACTGAGATCCTACAGGAGAAAGGGATAATTTTATATACAGTATTTTGAAGTTGTCCATCTGATGCTAGCACTCCAGAAAAAATATTCTGCATACTGTTTGCCTCTGAGACATTGTCATAGTAAGAACTGTACTTCTGTGTTATTGACAAAACAGCAATGTTTAAATATGAGACAGCCTTTATCCAAGGTTAAATTCATATACAACATTCATTTGGCTTTTGAAACATTACAATAGACTGTAAGATCCCACAGGACCTACAGCAGGGCTGGTTTACAGCTCTGCTCTTCAATAATTCAAACTGATGTGTTAAATGTTAATGTTAAATTCTAAAAAATGAGCAGACATTAAACTACATTTTACAATCTGCCTTTACATCAAACAGTCAGAGTGTGTGTGACTGTGTTGTAGAAAACTATTATCTTATTGCTGAAGGGCTAATTGGACTATAAACCATCTTGATTTGGCATTTTCATTAATAGAACTCTGCTTGGAAAAACGCATCAAGTAGAGGAATGGGTCAGTTCTTTAAAGGGATAGTTGGGGATTTTTGTGTGGGGCTGTGTGAGTTACTTCTCCACAGTCAGTGTATTACCTGCAGCAGATGGCGGTCAGCGTGTCCCCAGTTTGGAGAAGCAGAGAGATGAACTTGCATGGAAGCTAAGCAAGTAGGGTCAGCAGCAAGGACACCTAAAAGAAGGCCTACTACTACTACTCTGCCGCAAGTAACACACTAACTATAAATGAGTACATCAAACAGCACCACTTCAAAATTCCTGAACTATCCCCTTTAATAGACACAGTGAGGCGTTAGTGCCCTTCTGTGTGACAGTTTTGATCAAACCTAAACTTAGGCGTTAAACCACAGCCATTGAATGGCACAGCATGCAAACACAACTCTCTCATACTCTGACATGTTATGCTGTTATCTTCTGTGTGTCTGTGTGTGTGTGTGTGTATCTGTGTATTTGTACCTGCAGGTCCTTCATGTCCTTCTCCAGGCGGAGTCTCTCAGAAGTTTCAGTCTCTAGCAGCTGGGAGGCAGACTCCCCGGTGTTCCGCTCATCAGCCAGCTCTGATGACAGCTCTGTAATCTGATGCAATACATACACACAGTCACACACACAGATTAAGAGCCAAGCATGTTTCCACTTTATTGATGTATAGTTTGGAATATTTACTTTATTTGGGGATTCATCCCATGTCATTCATACACCAATGAGTTGAGTTACTGATACACGGGATTATCTGGAAATCTGTCAGGGACTGGACACTGCAGTGGATCCCACTGCTCTGATACTACATCACTGCAACGTTATACAAGGCCAAATAACAGATTCAGCTCAGGTTTAATATCACTACCAAGTTTAGATTTGTGTTCCGATTGATTTCTCTAAAACCCTATTTCCCTGATACCTATTTCCTTCCATCTTTCTCTTGCATATACCCACACACACACACACACATATATATATATTTATATTCTATTTACATCATATAAATGATGAAGGAATGGTGAGGAAATATCCTTCAGATTTGTAGGATTCAGACTTTATTCTGAAAATTCTCTGATTACTCTTAGACTCCTGCTACATGTGTCCATCTGTTTCTGTGTGTTTACCCGGCTTTCGAGGCGGTCGCTGTTAAGTCTCAGCTCATTCCTCTCTTTCTCCACCTTCTCCAGCTTCTGCTTCAGCTGTTGGATCTCTTCCTGAGACAGAAAAGACAGAAGATGTTTATGACAGACAGACAGATTTGTGATAGAGCAGATGGAGTGAATTCACAGCATATAAACTAATGATACTCATAACTATTCAAAGTCTTGTTAGTTGTAGGAATTTACTTATGGGTTTTTTCCTTGTGCACTACCTCTGATATTTATCTGATAGATATGAAGTAGTTTGATTAACTAAATAGTATTATCGAACAAATATTCATTGTCCAATCCTTGTTTTCCTCTAGCAATGTGTTGAGCGCCATAGCGGTCAAAACTCCATGCAGAATTTTCATGAATGTTAAAAAAATAAATTGTGGGGAAAATAACTGGAATTTTGACAGATGTTTTGATGTGAATAGGGTCAAATTTAATTACAACCACAATCGGCATAAAATTAAATAATGACTTCTATATCCAGAGTCTATATCAGCCTCTTTACATTACACCAGAAAAATGTTTTTCCAGTATATTATTTCAGTATTTGTAACTCGAAAGAAAACAGCTACAATTGAAAAGCCACTCCTCAATCACACCATTCTTATGGATACGCACAAGTATTGTGTGTGTGTGTGTACTTACGTCCTTGCCGCGGATCTGTTCCTCAGTGAGCTGCACCTCTATCAGAGGCCTGACGGTGGTGAAGAGCTTCCACCACGGCCAGCCTTTGACACCACGATTCTTCTTTATATTCTTCTGGATGCAGCGGATGGCCAGATCCTGGATCTGTTTCACACACACACACACAGTCAGAGGAAGAACACAAGACTGAATAGTGTATGGTGCACTAACATCTGTAAAGAGTTTCTGATGGTAGGAGGACTGTGTATCTACATAAATAATGCTTGGTGCTCAAACGCAGCCAAAGTGGATGGACAATGTTTATCAGATGTGGAATTTTTAATGCTGAGATGTCGGCCATACTATCTGCCCAGAGAATTCTCCAGTGTTTCTGTCGTTGAGGTTTACATTCCTCCAGATGCAAATAAAAAAAATTCACTACAGGAACTGTACGAGGTCGTCAGCAGTCACATGCCAAAAAAACGGATGGTGATTTTATTGTTGCTGGTGATTTTAATTGAACAGATCTCCGAACAGTATTACCGAAATTCCACCAGCATGTCCACATCCCCAACCAGAGGAACAAACATGCTGGACCACATCTACACCAATATTCCTGGCAGCTACAAAGCCCTCCCCCGTCCCCATTTTGGTTTATCAGGCCAAAAAAGCTGGTTTTCAGACAGCGATAGTGAAAGCTGGCATCAAGGAGGCGAAGCAGAGACATCATGGAGACCTCAACACCAACACCACCAAAGATATGTGGCAAGCCATCAAAAACATCACAGGCTACAAAAGCAGGAGCTCCCCCATCATGTGTGAGGCCACATTACCAGATGAACTTAACACCTTTTATGCTGCTTTGATCTGCTCAACAAAGAGTCAGCTGTAAAGTCTACTCCACCTCCAGAGGACCGGCCCCTGTCAGTATAAACAGCAGATGTGAGGAGAGTCCTGCTGAAAGTGAATTTGAGTAAATCAGTTGGGCCATGTATTAAAAACCTGTGCCAATCAGATAGATGATGTTATTACTAGGGCTGTCGTGATAACCGCAAAATTGAAATACCGCAGTATTGATCAAGCCTTTCGCGGATGACAGCAAGCACTGCAACAACTGCAATGTTCATACTGTACACTTCAGGGCGTGTTAAATTAATTAAAGAGTGCTTCAAAAGTTACACAACTGTAACGAGCTCCGTAACGGTTCAAAGATGGATCTCCATGGGCTGTGCGTGACCCAACTTCAAACTCTGAAGCTGTAAGTGTTTTGTGCTGTTTTACTGTTTATTTGAAAGGTTAGCTGACTTGGCGTTAGCATATTGCGCGGCTAATGTGGCTAGCACGCTCGGTGATTTTGGACTGACATTGTGATCCTGAAGGATAGTCCAGAGAAACTCTGGACAGTATGGCTCATTTGAAGCTCACAAACTAAGGCGTGTGTCGGGAGCCTGCAGCTGTTTTTCATGTTGCTTTCTGGGGAAATTTTGTTATAACGTTACTACAGCGCAGTGATTAGTTGTGGACAGCCATTCTGCTTCACACCGGCGCGTGTGTGCGCGCGCTTTGCTGCGGTATGTAAATTGACTTGATAGGTGCCTTGAAGATAATGATATAGCTACGTCTGAAAAGGACACGGTCAAACTACATAAATCAGTTTACTTGCCAATGTTGTTGACTAGCACGCTGCAGCTAGCTTGCTCAGACCATGAAGCTCCTGCTAGCGGCTCGCTGTGCAGTGAGGCGACAGACACAGACACTCTTACTCTGCTATATGGCACCAAATTACTTCATTGATGACAAATGTGAAAATACCGCATACCTGACCCCCAACATATTGCCACGGTGGAAATTACTTCACCGCGACAGCCCTAGTTATTACTGACATTTTCAACATATCATTGTCTCAGGAGAGGGTTCCCACCTGCTTCAAGACAGCCACCATCGTTCCTGGACCTAAAAAGTCTGAATGACTACCACCCTGTGGCACTCACCCCATTCTGATGAAGTGCTTTGAGAAAGTGGTTCTTCAGCACATAAAGAACAACATCCCAGCCAGCCTGGACCCTCACCAATTTGCTTTGAGAACCATCTCCACTGCCCTCCACTCAGCCCTCACACACCCTGAGAAAAACAACATCAGAATGCTGTTTTGATTTCTGCTCAGCATTCAACACAATCTCCTCCATGAAACTGATCAACAAACTCAGCACTCTGGGTTTAAATACAACACTCTGCAATTGGATATTAGACTTCCTCACAAACAGGCCCCAGTCAGTTTGGATTGGCGGACTGGCGGATTGGCTGTGTGCACAGCCCCCTCCTGTTCACGCTGTACACCCACGACTGCATCCCCCGACATGAAGACAACTCTGTTTTGAAGTTTGCGGATTACACCACCATCATCGGACGGATTTCAAACATCGATGAGACTTCATATCGGAAGGAAATTGATAATCTTGCAGAGTGGTGCTCAGAGAACAACCTACTTCTCAACATCAGCAAAACCAGGGAAAAGGAGATAAAGACACACTCCTGTCTACATCAGTGGAGCTGAGGTGAGGTGCCTACGCAGAGCCCAAAGGATACTAAAGTACCCAGCCACAGCCTGTTCACCCTGCTGCCTTCTGGGAAGAGATATAGAAGTTTCAGCTGCCACACCACCAGACTCTTAAACTCTAATTCATCCTCAGCACTGCTCCAGTGATGATAGTTTATTTCTGTTTACCATTATATATATGTAAATGCTCCGTATTTGTATAGCGCCTTTCTAGTCTTTTCGACCACTCAAAGCACTTTTACACTACATCTGCATTCACCAGTCAAACACATTCATACACTGAGCCTAAGTGCTCAAACAGAAAATAACATTCACACACAAGTCAGAATTTCCGAGTTCCCAGTCGGAACTTTCACCTGGAACGCCCCCTGAAGTCGGATTTCCGACTCGGGAAGTCGGGAGAACCACACTACCCCGACTTCTTGATCGCTGTTGGGGTATCAACAGTTAGTGAAAGCTGTAGTTTATACTATTTATTAGCACTTCTGTGTACTTGTGACTCATATAAATGTTCGTACACAAAGTCCTATCAATAGCTAACCTGGCTAGTTGTAAACAAACAGCTGGTCGAGCGAGGCTTTCCGACTTGTTAACTGGAACACCGTCAACTCGGGTGTGACGTCATTCCCTGCTCCGACCTCCGACTTCCGAGGTAAATGGAACGCAGCATTACACACCACTTGCCACAGTTGTGTCAGGATACTACAAAATCCTCATTTGGTCAATGGGAGAAATATATAAATATATTAATATATTTATTTTGAAAAAGCTAAATGTTCAGCCGTTTGTTTAATACATAAAGGTTGGTCATATTGTGTCAAAGTTAGTTTGTTTTAGTGGAGTGTCTGATTTTCTCAGTATTTTCTTAATCCTTCAAATTTAGGAAGTGACATGTGCAATGCATCATTTAAATAGGGCCCAAAATGTTTAGGGGGGTTATGGAGAGAATTAAAACATGACCATGATGAATGGCAGCAGCAGATCTTAAGTACTACAATCTTTTCTCAACCATTTTCTTCAAGTCAGGAGATGCCTAATAACAACATGATGAAAGAGGATTAGTCAGCACATATCAGCCCTCTATGATCACGCATGCCTACAAATCAGCAGTTGTTCTCTTTACTGTGGCGTATAGGTGCATGTGGTTTGACTGATGGCTGTATCTTAGACAGATTGTTAACACTGCAAGCACAAATTAAACCATCAATGACACACAGGCAGCTTGTTGAAGAGGCATTAAGAGAAATCTTAACTGCAGGTGATCTGGGGAGCCATAAATGAGGGGTGGTGATGGCGCAGTAGATAAAACACGTCTTTGGTGTGAGAGACCCACTGTGACCCATCCACCAATGTGTCCGTGAGCGAGACACTTAACCCCTAGCTGCTCCAGAGGCGTGCGACATATTTAGCAATTCTGTTTGGATAAAACAGTTAGCTAATTGAGCTAAATGTAAATGTAATACACAATTGGAACAAATTGCTCTGTACAGCAAAGGCTGGTATGACTTGGAGTCCTGATTACAGAAATGTTACACACTTTTACAGAAAGGTTTGTGTAACTGGAATAGTTGTTACCAGGCCAGGAGATTAGGAATAACAGACTTCTGTTGGAGACACCTGGCAAGTTGACCATGTAGACCTGTGACTGATTTTAAAGCACTCAGAGTGAGTGCAGGCAAAAGATCTGTGTGGCAGCAGTGTCGCAGGATAAGGACAGATCAGTAGCCTTGAAGAGCGGGTTGAAACACTGATCTAGACCATTTCACTAATCTTCATCTTCAACTTCAATAAACTCCCTGTTCGATTCCCACACTCTTCCTGAAGTGGACAAGAAAATCTTCCCTCAAGCTTCCCTTCAGAAAAGAGGCCAACTCAGACAAGCCTTTATGTTATTTTAGGTTGATTCGATTTTACTTTTTCTTATCCAGGATAAATAATGTTGTCAAGCAGTTGCTGCTGTAGATTATTACACTAAACTTCAAGATGTGGCATTCTATCTATTTTTCTACTATAGCTGAGAAGAAAGTTTATAATACTAATATCCACGTATTTAGACCAAACTTTGACATAGCGCTGAGTGGCACATGCAAGTTGGGCCGGTGCTTGGTCTGTTTTCAAGCAGGAAAACATTGCAGCCTGGCCACAAACTTTCTCCCATTCTCCCAATCTGTCTGAATGGAAGGGGGCAGGTGTTCTGCCAGCACAAATGAAACATGAGCACGGCTGATTTTTCTGGTTCAGGCTAGCAGATTGCTGCCCCAGTGAGAAAAATGATACACGATTCTATGAAAAATGTGTATTCTTAAACTTTGCCTGAAACTTTTTTTTTTTTTTTACGTATTATATAGAGTTGACATTTACTTACGATTGTCTGCTGTGACTGTCTACTTTGTACATATAGCTGTACTGAGTGCCGTCTTGGTAAAGGATCCATCCATCTCCCTCCCCTCCCACTCCCCCCCCCCCCTCCCTTTGTGCTTAGCCTGTGTATTATAAGTACCTAACTACCTTTCAGGGGTTCCGGCAATAAACCAAACAGCCATCCAACTCAAAATATGATGTGTTTGTATGTATATTAGGGTTGGGTATCGTTTAAAATTTTCCAATA